CCTCCGCTTCACCTCCAAGTCCTCAGGGTATCATACTTTGAAGAAGACCAGCCTTCACTGCAGGTTTATATTTTTTGAAAGTCTGTAGGCCCGACTTTCTGCGATTGCACAACCACACGCAACTTGACGGCAAGTTTTAGATCTGGATAGTCCTCTTTTCAGAGCTGTAATTTTCACAGGGGTGGAGTGTTTGGCTTCAAATTCTCATTATAGCAAGAAGAGGCTTTGTGCTCAATACTCATATCAAAAAAGGGGCTGTTTTTGAATTCTGAAGGCAACTCGAAGATTCCACAGTAAGTGTTTGTGCTTGGTTCGACTTGTTTCGGCCTTACGCTAATCCGAGGAGTTGAAGCACTCAACGTGAAAAACGCGCCGGTTGGAATTTTGGCAGCACTTCTTACTTCACTGTTTGAAGGCGATATGAAGCCCGATTTGTAGCATAGACTTGTAGAGAACATTACTTTGTTATGAGTATACAAAAGCTGACTTTTCTCACTTCTGAAACCAAGTTGATCACGTTTGAAAATCACGCTTTTTAGACGTTGCGAGACACTAGAAACTGCAGTAGGTAATGGTTTATAGAGAGCATAGAGGTAATTTGACATGCTGATTATGGAAATGATACCCACTTCACACAGCAAGCTTCCTTGTCGACCTCATATATCAAGGTAAAAGAGATGAAGATTTGAATTTTGGCTGAAACTTCCATTGTGGAAACAATCAGTACTCTGCTTATGACCGTCATTCCTTCATGTGGTCGCGATATCCACCGGACTAGCGCATTTCTTCTTCACCTTCGCACTATCTCCTCAACTTAACAAATTCGATTTTTGATTACGCCCCCCTCCCCCAGTCTTACCCTCAATACGATCCCCCAGGTAGGGCGCGCCTGACCCCACGCTCAACCCTGGGGTCAACTAATGTGGAATAGTACCCTTCTTGCTATATTGAAAACTTGAATCCCAACACTCCACTTTTGTGGAAATTATAGCTTTAAGAGGACTATCCCAATCCAAAATTTGCCGTAAAGTTGCGGGTCGTGCAGTCGCAGAAAGTCGGGTCTGCAGACTTGCAAAAAGCAAGAACCCTCCAGTAAAAGCGGCTGATCTTCTTCAACATATCACAACCTGAGGTCCTGGAGATAAAGCGGAGGGTCGTTTAGGCGCTTTCACAAGGGGGGGGGGTCGTTTTTGAAGGACTTGTGCCTGATTTCTTGCTCAACCCTGGTCACGATCGTTTCAATGTTCAAATTTGTCAAGCCTCAAGTGGCATAGAATTAGCGGAAAATCTACGAAAACATCTGAAACTAGGTAATCATTTTTGTATCGAGAACATTGAATACAAGGAATGGAAAATAGCCAGTAAAAGTCGCACAAGTGCTTTTGTAGAGCTTTTTGCTGATTTTATGCCAGTCAAGATTTTAACTTTGGACTTTCAGACGCTCATAGCTTCTTTCGGAGAGTAGTTCCGCAAAAGGTCTAGAATCAGCGTTCAGAGACGCGTCTATTGATACACATCACCTTCAGTCGCCAACTTAAATTGGTATCTCATCTTTGTAAGATGAATTTCGCTCTACAGAATGGTACCTAAAAATTGGCAAAATACACAAAAGCAAGAGAGTTATTAACAATCAGGCGGTGTTACATTTTTTTGGCTCACTCCGTATACAGCTGCTGTATTTTTCCGTACAAAGTAGAAAGCGAAATTGGTGATTTGGCCAAAACAATGCTGGGCTGTCATAAGTTCAGTCTCCCACAAGCGAGTTTTGGAAAATATTGAATTCTAAATGAAAGTAGAGAAAACGCGCTTTTGTGTTTTTGGTCATTCTGTTCTTCATTTCTAGCCATGGAAATATAACTGTATATGAGAACATCTGATGTGGAAAGCACATCCGTGTTCGATTTAGCTCACAAGAATTTTCTGAAAAAAGATTTAATTCTCCGGATTTTGAGTTCAGACTTTTGCAAATGTTTGGTAGCCATCTCGTAATGCTTGAGTTCCTTATACGGTGGTTATTTGCTGCTCAAGATGATCAAGTAATGTGCTAATATGAAATTTTGAAAAGTATAATCAAAACTGACTAATAAAGTATAGGGATTTTGTAAGGGTCAGAAGTGCATGGTTCCGTAAATCCAAACGCCAGACAATTGTCATTTCTTAGAAAATATGCGAGTGCAAAAAATAAACTACAATCTACAAATTTTTTTGCGTATGTATATGCATACTCAAAAATTATGCAGGGAAGAAAGATTCCATGGGCTGAGATTTTCAAATTTTCTCCGCCTTGAAAACCCCTAGAATCATTGCCTGATTTGTACTGTAGTAGAATTGCAGAAGTATTACCACTGTGTAGCTAATAGCCGGCTGAGCAGTACTCCAAATCATGGATTTGTGCAACTGCAAAAAGACCACTTATTCTGTAGCATAATTTGCACCTTTTAAGATTTTGATTTTGCTTGCCACGACTTCACGCGACTCAAAGGGACTACAACAACAGGCGATAGTAGCCAAAAGTTTATAGCTTCAAATTTAAAAATTGTATCGCAATAAGCATTTCGCAGTGCAAGTCTCTAGGATATAGCAAAAATGAAATTTACCATATTTGGTGTTCTATCCTGTCAAGGTGCGGAACCACACAATGAACAAAGCTCTATGAAGATGAAAGTTTGCATAAGCTAGTAGAAAAGCTTTCAGATAATGTATGAACATTATTCATGAAAAATGGTTTTCAGCAGTGTAAGAAGAGGTATAAAACAAGTGGAATTTTTATTTTCAAGAACCCAGTAGACTAGATAACTAATATAAGTACGCCCTAGAAAACTACTAAACTTTTTTCTTCGGGAGGGAGGGGTCTTCAGAAAGTCTTAAGTATAGTCAGATCAAATCATCTATCGTATACCCTTGAAGTCTATGGAATAACGTCTTATCTCCATTTACGGTCATCTAAACATAAATGAATACTAGCGTACCCAAGTTGAACGCTAATGTTTACTATAGCGGTACGATTGAACAGAGTTGGCCTAATACCAAAGCCATCGACCGACAAGAACAGTAGCATCGGTCTAAGAAATTTATTTCCCGAATGTTTCTCAGATTTTCGCAACTGTCCAGCCCTGGAATTTTGAAAAAGGGCAGCTGCAGCCACATTCTCGAGAATCTTTTCAAGTTATTTAAGTTCTTTTTTGTAAGATTATTTTAATATTTTTAGAGAGAAGGAAAGAAATTATGTACTATTTGATAATTCCGCTTCCCTTCAGTCACCGCTACGTCCTCTCCTCCTCGTCTTATCCTTCGTGGTCCGCCACTGTTGTTTTATTTGGGTAGGAAAGAAAAGAGTTGGTTCTTCGGTTTTGTTCCGCCAAAATTGATACTTCTTAAGAACTAAGCCATATCCGAAGCCAAAATTCTACGGTTTCGAAGGTTGTAGTATACAATGGCATATGTAGGAGCGCCTAAGACTACTGGGGGAGCCGTTTTCTTTTTTCAAGTTTTGGTTTGTAAGCATGAATAAATTACAGTAAGTGTGCCCTTGGATGACTGCATGTGGTTACATGCAGAAACAAGTGAGAGGTTCGTATGATTTTTTTGGAACAAAAGCCCGATTTTTGGCATCATAAGTTGCTCTTATGTTTTGACTCCAAATTGGGTAAATGATGGTTTTTGCCAATGCTCAAATGTCTTCTTGTAAAGCTTCCTTTTCCCTATCGAATGGTATCCCTCACATATCCGATTGGTCTATTGCTTTGGTATGAAAAATGACATTCTTTTCTTTCCAACCTAACATAATGATGTTGTGAATTTTCAAATAGTGGCACTTATAAACTTGCATAGTGGTCAAGTAGCCGTAATGAATATATGCAAGAATGTAAATTTCCTTAAATGTCAGATCAGAAGTGGATATGTCCTCAAACCCTTAACTATCCGCATACACAATCCGAAAAAACATAATTCGACTGTTTGGGAAGCACCGTCAAGGCTTATAGATTCAGAGGTCTCAGTCCTAGTAGGTTGTTTCAGGCAATTAAATCCTTTCCAAAAAAGTGAGTTGTACTGGTTGAAAAATTCTTTTCTGAAATGAAAAAACGAGCATTTTTTGTCCAACGTTTTCATTCCCTCTCACCATTCTTATTAAATCCCTGATGCACCACAGGAAAGGGCGAAAAAAACAAATTTTTGTTCTCCTACTTTCGAAAGAGGTTTTCGAATTGATCACGCGGTCCAATTTGGAGGCATTATTTCTGTGCCCTTTTTATGCGCTTTGTGGCACACAAAACCTTAGAAAAACCATACGATCGCAGAAGAAAAAGTGCGCAGGAATGTTATATTATGAATATTCACGTACTGATAGTTTTTCATATGAACGCTTTCTAATGATAAAACCCGGAAAGAGATGAACTCTTCGGTCTGAAGATTTTTCTGTGCGCCTCATTAAACTTGCAAGCCTCGAAAACCGTATGCGAAATCTTCTCAGGAATAAAAATTAAATCCCAGTAGCTAAATAGTGGAAGTATGGAGGGTGCAGAGAAGCAGAAAGTGCTAATCTACTGGATTTTTTTTTTGTTAGAAATCATTGAACATTATGCAAGGTGCGGAGAGTGTGCAGAGAGTCAGACGGCTGTCATGAATACATGCGGTCGGTCCCGCCCTCGCTACGAACGACCATCGCGACGTCGATCGTACCGTCGTCGGAGCTACTGCAAATCGATTCCATTCGATTTCACTTGTTGATCGATCGATAATTGATTGATCGGTGTTTGTTTACGTCAAGTGTTGTTCGCCACTATTGTCACATGCGAATTCCATTCATGGTTAATGCATCTGTTTGCGTACTGCGTCGGCTTGAGTGTGTAAACAGTTCCTGGAAAATTCCTAAAGGTTCCATCAGTTCCTGTTTCGGCAAATATTACGATAATTTGGAGTTGTAAGCATGCTTTGCACCAAAAATAGCCAAATTCTCCATCAGCTCAAATAAATCGCGTTTTACCATTAGCATCATTTCCTTTCCTCATAAGTCCGTGATTACAGACAACGCCACAATTATCACCAGCTAGCGTTTGAAGTATGAATGTCATACAAGGCTTGTTGGGAGCCGTTACACCGCTATCCGATGGTGATTTTGCGGATCGTCTCAATTATTGCGTAACTACCGTCGGCTTAGTGTTAGCGTCGGCATTCATATCTGGATGGAGGTAATGATGAAAATTAATCGATTATCGATTAGTTGTTGATGGCGCCCATGTTTTAGCTTTGTCGGCTCACCCATCCAATGCTGGTTTCCAGCTTATTACAAAGGTAAGTTCCAGAGATTTTTTTGTTTGCCTTTTGACCACATTTGAAATTTATTTGCAAAAATAGTTTAGCTACCCTTCTGTGATCATATTTCATCAAAATTCCAAATTTTTCTCGGGGGTTTTGCTATTCGAATTTTTCGACAAATCTTTAGATTTGCATATTTTAGACCAAAGAACCTAGATGATCCTAAATGCCTAGAACTTTTCTGAGCCTTTCCCTTATAGTTAAACATATCATTCCACCCCGCTGTACAATCGTTTGTCGCCTCTGTTTTGCATAACACCTCCGAATCGTTGCCATCTTTGCATACAAACAATCAACCATTCCTACTGTCAATCGATACGCATATATTTCAGGATGGTGGCAAGAATACGCGTTAGATTATTGTTATGTACAAAATACGTATTTTATACCGATGACAGACGTCAAAGTACATAATGCATTCGATTTTGCTAGTCATATGGTGGAAATTCCGACAAGCTGGGCTGATCGTGAAGAGAAGCAAATTGGTAAAAAAAATTGAACTGAAAATAAGTGATATTCCTAAGAAAAGCCGTTTCTAGGGTATTACCAGTGGGTACCGTTTATACTCGCCGCGCAAGCGATACTTTTCTATCTACCGGTGGTGATATGGCGATCGATATATGAAAGCTCTGGTAAGCAGCACATTGTTTTGACTGTAAATATTGATCGGTATCGATCCAAAAATCTTTATAGGATTCAAAGTTCGAGCGATTTGCGATACATGCAGTATGCATGCAAATATGGATGAAGGCACAAGGCAAAAGAATATGAAGACCATCGCTGCGTTCCTCGTTCAGGTGTCGATAAATCGATAATCGATTGATTTAGAGAGGCTTAGGGTTATATTATTTTTAGGAGCATGCAGTAGCATTGGTGAAAGCTGGAAAGGCTAGAAAAATTTCTAGTGGAAGCTATATCACCATCGTGTATGTGGTAGGTCGAATTATCATTTTGCTTCTGCTTCAAATTTTTGCTTTCTTTTTTCTTTTTTTGGACCTTACATGCATAGTCCCACAAGAAACGTTCGAAATTTTAGTTTATCAAATTTCTCTACGCCCTCAACGCCATCTTTCAATTCATCTTTCTCAAAAATGTACTTGGTGTTAACTCTTACACTTGGGGATTGGACGTATCTCTCGACTTATGGAACGGACGTGAATGGCCTGAAACAGGAAACTTCCCCAGGTACGTTTTGGGAGTTTCTTGGAGTTTAAAGGAGTTTATAGTTTATTTCTAGAGTAACGATGTGTGATTATGACGTCAGAGTGCTCGGCAATTTGCACAGGCATACGGTACAATGTGTATTGATGATCAACATGTTCAATGAGAAAATCTTTGTTATTTTATGGTATTGGCTGTGTATCATGCTGGTAGTGAGGTTAGTCATTATTTTGTACAAAATTAGTCAAAAATTATGCTTGAATTGGATTTTTCTTTTTTTTTCAGTGTGTACAGTTTTATCAAATGGGCTGTGGCTATGGCGACCACTACAGTAACCGGAAAAGCCTTGGTAAACAACTTCATCCAACAGGTACGCGCTATGTGTTGCATAATTTCCCAGCTAGCCGATTACGCGATTGCGGACTAATTTTTTCCACAAAATCCTTCTCAGATTGATCCGACCGTAGCACGCAGCCTTCACAAACGTTCGCTTCTCCAGCAGTTCGTATCCGAGAAGCTCCAAACCGATGGGGTGTTTTTGATCCGACTTGTTGGTAAGGGTTACGGTACCTATAAAATGTCTGTTTATACACATAAAATCTATTTTTCAGCTGAAAACTCTGGTGACATGGTCACATTGGCGTTGTTGAAGACGTTATGGGAAGATTTTATTAAACAGCGTGGCGAACATCCACCACCATACACTGAGCCATTACTCGTGTCGAATAAGAACAACAGCGAGTCTGGATTGTAGATCAGAATTTTGACAAATGTGTAGATCACAAAAAATTCTGTGTGAAAATTTACGAATTTCACTTGCACAAAATAAACGAGCCGCTTCAATGAGCTTTCTCTTTTATGACAATGTTTTTCAAGGAGATACTTCCGTTATTTTTGTACGAGTTACATTCGCCTAGCCTGTTTTTGTATTTTCTATTGATTTTATTGATTAGTTTTGTACTGCGCGATAGTTCAACTTGATTTACTTAGGTATTGAATATTGTGATAAGTCTTTTCAAATGCACATAATAGATTCCATAAATGGATCCAGTGATTTGGTTAGTGTGCAGATGTTGCAGATTCAGGATTCGTAATAAAGAAATCTAGAATTTGATCTTGTTGGACTACAGCCAAATTTGGTGAACGTAAATCTATTATGTATGTCATGCGAGAGACGAAGAATGCTAAACGAATTAGAAAATAGCGCCAGAAAAGAGGAGTGCGCAGAGACGCGCATGTTGTTGAAGAGATTGGTGGAAGTGGGAGGAGCCAGCGTACTGTAGCGGCCAGAGTGATCAGATTAGTGTAGGGTTTTGCAGAGACGCAGACGGTGTAAGAGCGATGAGAGAGCAAAGACGCAGAGATAGCAGACAGTGTTGGAATGCGGCGGTTGCATTGCGACCTCGCCGTCTGACAGAGCGGCTGTCGGCATTTGCGCACGGTACGACATACAGTAGCCCAATATTGATCGATGCGTACCCCCTGGATTATCAACATATTTCTTGTATTAATCCTTTATTCATCACAACACTGTATCTAAATAGGCTTATTCGGATTTTCTAGATTTTTCTTCACCGAAAAATCGATTGATTCCAAAACCGCGTTTGCAATTGAAATATTGTGTCGGCGATTCACAACACACACACGCGCAACTAAAGTGTCGTGTGCAGCTGCCTCCGTTTCGGCTATTTTTTTTGCTCTTCGAAATGATGATGACGTCATCGACCGACGTCGTTTTCTTCGCGTTCCCCCCACATCACATCAATCACACGCATTGTACACATTGTGTTGGACAAAAGTTTTTGATTTATGGCCGAGTGGAAATTATTTCTTAGGGATGGAGCTAAATTTTATTATGATCGAATATGCATTATAAATTTGGACCGGTACCCGCCTTAAAATCGCGCAAATAGCATTTTTACGACTGTTTGCATTTTTGTCTCATTTTTGCGAAAAATATGTGATTTTCTTTATTTTCCTGCCGGAAGAAAAATTCTTGCAAAGTTCGCAAACAGAAATCAAAACTTTGCAAACTGCCACCTCCAGGATTGGCATGCGCTGAGTTTTGAAAAACACTTTGTATTTTTTCTGTTCAGATGCGCTTTTAGAAATATAAATCAGGATTAAATGAATGTTTTTATTGCTTAAATTATTGTTTAGATGTGCATTTACGAATCGCCCATTTGAAAAAAGTTAGCAGACCATCAAACCTGTTTGCACTCCCATTCCGCAGCTATTCTTGTTTGAGGCATGTTTGCTACGTTCACATGGTAAAAAACGCGATCCACGGTCAATTTTTAAGGATTTTTTTAGTTTTTGTTTAACATATAAATGCAGTAAGTTCTCATTTTTCAGCTCAGAGTCTTATTATCGTTTATGAACTAGATCGTTTACATCCATTTTTTAAATAATTCACCTTTTTTGACTCAATAATACTTCTCTCCCTCCCTATAACCATAGATACGAAACGATCGCTTAAGAAAACCGTGCAGTGGTTTTTCTATGTTTCTGAAAATCAATTCTCGATGGAAATCTGTTCTGAACGATGGGTGATGATGGACGAGTCTTCCTATCCTTTTTGCCATATTGGAGAGACCATACACTGGAACGTGTCCATTCTTCTTGGCACTGTGTCGCATCGCTATCTTTTGTTGATTTTCTAGAAAATCTATACGAATTGGGGGTTTCGGGTCATTCAGCCATTTTATAATCACTTTTTTAGCTCTGCTTGGGAATCCGGGTCATTTTGTCGAAAACACAATCACAGTTGCCTAAAACTAGATATTGTGTGCGCTATCATACGTACCCTAGAAAAATTATTTCCAAACGAAACAACACAGAAGAACTATTTTGGATCATATGCTTCAATTTTTAAACTTTTCCTCTCGATTTTACTTTCAGAATTGCTCTCTTTGTATGTGATGGTTGGTGCGACATTTCATATGTTTTGCCTATCTAGTCTCTCCTTCCACACATTTTCATGAAAAACATTAGTCGCAATGACACAACATGACAGTTTCGATTAACATGAAAGTTGCAAGAAAGATTTTATGATGATACATATCAGTAACGGGCCATAACTCTTTATTGTTCCAAACGTTTTTTTTCAGTTCGAAATTTCTACAATGATTCCTATTAAGCATAAAAATTGAGTTCTGAAAAGTTTCTGATAACAGTTCACCAACTCTTTTTCGGTTCGAAGATCTAGTTTTTTAAGGTTTTTTTAGTTCGTATTTTCATAATAATTCTATCAAACATACAAACTGAGTTCTTAAAACCCAGAACTACCGCAAATTTTCCAATATTTCTGTACAATTTACAATAATCTGCTTTCTGAATAATTTACGATGTCGGTGAACTCATTCCCGTATGACCACGGAATTCTCCAATCAATTTCCTCCAAACCCTTTGAATCTATTCCATCTGCTGAATACTTATTAGGACCAAAGAGATCGCTCAGAATGCATTCCGATTTGGTAGCATTTGGGGACAAAACCTTTTCTACGATTTCGTAGAAATGGGTTCTAATTCTTCCATTTTTACTAACAGAAAAAATTCGTTATAATAAGCATTAGTGTTAGTTTCGTACTAAGCTGTTCGTTCTGCAAAATCTGACCTTTCGCTACCGGCACTATGACACTGTGACAACGAATACAATGGAAATGTCATTTCCATTGTATTCGTTCCTTTTCACGCTTTTTCTGCGATTTCTCGTTCGCTCTAGCCACGCCCACATCGGCTTTGATATGCTGAGCCGCGATGAGCCTCGGCTCTCTAAGCTACCGTAATCTCCTCTACCTTTCCTCCTCTCTGCCCGTACTGCCTCGAATTTCCGTATTTTGCTCCGATCTTACACGATTCTTGTTTGCTCGCGCGAGCAATGCCCTTTTTCATTCTGAGTAGAAAAAACTAGTTGTCACGAAATTTACAAGTGCATAGTGTGTAGAGAGCGATTGCACTCATGGACAACTGCCATTTATGCAAGAGTCCGATGTCCTTGACGTGATACAATCTGTCCCTGTTCCAGGATGTTCTTCTTGGACGCGTTCCTCAAGGGCCTCAAACCTCAGTACGATGATGACTCATGCGATCGACTGAACTACTACTACACGCCGATGATACTGGTGATCTTCTCGTTGACTCTCAGCGCTAAGCAGTGAGTCACAATTTGTACGAGTTTTTGGGAACAAAGTGGGCGGGGTGGGAGCAATTACTTGTCCCATTTTGTGCGAGTATGATGGCTCGGTGTCGAAAAACCACTTGAAAGTCATCCCACACACAGGTCGAACCAAGCCAAGGTCGTCGGCTATGGGAGGCAATAATTGCCACCCATCAGATGACAAGCGAGGTATTATCTCGATGCAAATTCAACCGCACGAGGTGTGAGGTGCGCGACGGGGCCCCGTCGGCCGCCAAAACCCGTCAAAGGTCATGGGGAGCAAGGGCGATCAGACGCTGATTACCCCTTGCGTACTTACCCATTCCGACCCTCCTGTACCCTGCATACCATCGCGCACACGCGCACATAACCGGGCGAGAGTGATTTTACGCTAATGTGAGGGGACTGTCGTAAATATGATGAGTGGGAACGTAAAGTACTTTGTGAGGGCGATATGTATGGTAAAAAGTTGTTCGGAGGCACTAAACGAAAATTGTGACTTCAATTACGTCTGTTCATCTTCAGAACTGGATATAGGGTGAAGGATTCCATAAAAATAATTGTAATAATTAAATTTCTGCAAAGCTAACGTCTCTTAGCGATTTTTTGGCAACTTGTCAAATTAATATATCCCACACACTTCAGGTCAAAAGAAAAACTAAGGTTAAGAAACGATCAGTCAAAGCAAAAATCCTCAGAATTTTTAGTAGTAACATATAGTGAGAATCAAACATTTTCTCAAAAATGCAAAATTCTGCAAGTGAATTTAAAAAATTGTCCAGGTTGCCTAGTCGCACATAAGCAAACCTTGTTCTAGTTGTTTTTGGCAATCTGCCAATCCCATACTTTCGCTCTTTTGCACACAAATTCGTTTAGGGGTTATGAACGGATATATGGTTACTGAAAGGGTATTGGTAACGAGTTCTGGGAATTTTTGAAACGTGGACCTTTTTTCGAGCGAAAATTGTTAAATGATACATAATTTAATGAAAAATTTTTCCTTACGACGTTTTTATGACTAGTCATAATTGCCTCATTTCTCCAAAACTCTCCATTTTTCCCAAAGTACAAAATTACCTGACAACCATCAGCATGATGAACTAAACTTACCCGTTTTGCAATTTTCATGTTGTTATCTTCTATTCATGGTGTTCACAAATGGTTTCTGTATGTAACGAACCGGTTTCTTCGCAGTATTTGGAGAATTCATGTGATGAGAACTCATAATCGAACAAAAAGTGGTTTATGTACCTAATTTGTAGAAGCGCCAGCAGCATTGGAAAATTCCTGTTCTAGCAGACAGATCTATGAAAGAAATGCAAGAAGTTGGCGAGCATAGTGAGAAGACTCGAAACAAGGCGCTTATCTGGGAATTTCCAAAATGCCGAGAAAGTTCCCTTGGTCTCAGAAAAATAATTCAAAATTATGATGCTTATCATATTCTAATCACATGTTGATAAATCGTTGCTAATTTTGCAAAATATCCAGAAAAACCTTATTTTTCTGGCCGGATAAACTTTAAAATACCAATCCTTGATATATTCCGAGTTTGGTAAGTACCTCCCCCTTCTCCGTCACTAAATTGTTCCAAAAAATCCATGTATGATGCTTGCTTTTAACATTGCTAAACGTATCCAAGAAAAAAATGGTAATTTTGCAAAACTCCTCCAAAAATTTCTTTTGATAGAGTTTCAATTACTAATTTTCAACGTTTCCTGGATGCGGTGACAGTAACCGCCCTCGTCCACTAAACTGTTCTCAAAAAAGCTGATCAAATCTATGATTCTTATTGTAAGAATTTTCCCCAGTCCTTCTATAGCGAAGGGACTGGGTAAATTGTTGTGGGGTTTTCTCAAAAATGGAAAGGGTTCTCTTTGCTAGATACCTTTTGCTAGACAAAAATTCGCAATGCGGGGTTTCGAAGTATGGGACAAATTCTCTGGGCAAGTCACTATAGTTGAACCCTTATCGCGAGACACTTTGACTATAATAATTTCTTTTGCAATTTCACAAAAAATCTAATTTCTAGAGATTTACTTCTATTCATTTCTACAAATTCCCGAAAGTAAAGTACCATTTTTAGGTATGTCGGTCAACCCATTCAATGTTGGGTCCCAGCCCAATTTACAGGTTAGTTACCTCCTCACTTTTCAAAATCAATAGATTTATGAAGTCTTCCCTCCAATGACTAGTCCAATCCCTCTCAATATTACTGCGCGTCCTGCATTATCAACGAGTATCGCGATAAGTCCACGCGATTATCGCACCCTCGACATTTGCATGCGCGATCCGTTGTTTCTAGTCACATGACTAGAAATCAAATCGCCGGATCGATATCAGCATCGGAAATCTGTGACGAATGATGTTCGATGAGCTGCGATATGTGAGTGTGTTGGAGGGCATGGGGACCGAATCGTTGTTTTTGTATTTCGGGGAAGGACGCGCGCTCGGTGGGAGAGGGCCGAATGCACTTTGGGTGGGTTCAAGTGGGGAATGTTTCGAAATTGTCGCATTGTTGAATTTTCGAGGGGTTGGGAATTTTAGATGAGGACATGCGAACTATGATGAAGAGCGATTGTTATGGGAACGACAAAAACACATGATGTGGAGACGAAGTTACCTCTGGGCTCTACCTAGAAAACTCCCAAGAGCCCGGGGAGGAGTTAGGGGGGGGGGATTCAGGATGAGAGGAAGGAAAAATGGAAAGAAAACTTTAGTTACTATGCGCGAGTCTTTCGTAAATGTCCGAGCTTGCATCCTGGGCGCGGCAACTGACGGCAGCATACTAGTATTCGTCCTTAGAAACCTTTTCTAGCTCGGAAACTTTGGAAATTTGTTTTCCTACCTAATAAATACCCAATCAGACCAAACCAGAAGGAAAGAAAGAGAAATTTCTTGAAATCTGAATGTTTTAGTCGCACAAGTCGTGAATTAGCGCGCACGGTGTGCAACTGCACATCTATCTACAAATGACTCGAAATTTGCGACAATCTTATGTTAGCACTAGCCTGGATTTATAATAGAACCTTAAGAACCTTTGACTGCAGAAGTTTTCAAAATTTCATTTTTTGATGTTGCTACGCTGACAGTTCATATTTTTTGCAAATTTAGGCGCATGGGAACAATATAGTGAAAACTACTGCTTTGTACAAAACACCTACTTTGTACGGCCAGATAGCTATATCCCTGATAGTCATGCTGAAAGAGAAGATGCGGAGATTGGTGAGTTCACGATCGATATATCGATTGCTATATCGATCGATGGTTTCTTCCCAAAGTTCTTAATATGTCTAACTTCAGGCTACTACCAGTGGGTCCCATTTATCCTTGGCATACAAGCGATCCTCTTCTATCTGCCTGCTCTATTCTGGCGGCTATTCAATTGGCAATCAGGTAGATAAGATAGCTTTTTGCTAGGAGACGGGAGTGGGGGGGGGGGGGGAGTTGGTGGTTAAAAATACCGCATCATGAATTTTTTAGGAGTGGCTGTGAAATCGCTGGTCAAGATGGCACGTGACACCACTGATTTGCAACCGGAGAGGAAGCGAGAAGCTGTCATGGTATAGGGCTGAAACACGATAAAATCGATCGATAATTGATTTTTTGATGATTTAGGTAGTGGGCGCCCATGTCCATGATTCACTTCGCGTACAAAAAAAGATCTCTCAATCCAGTGAGTTTTGATGGAATTATCAGTTAAAGAGCAAGAGCAGCTCAATTCAAGTTTAAAGATATATGCCATAGAGTTTGATGGGAAGTGAAAAATTCAAAATAGATGATTTTGGGAAGATTTTATCTATTTCAAAGCAGATAATTTGTAACAAGAAACCTCAAAGTTCATTCTGCACAATGAAGTGCTCTTTTTTTGAAAATTTTCGACTTGGACGATTCTGAGAAAAAATTTACCTTTTGATCTATCTTGCTATTGGTGTCGATGATCTCAGAGATTGAATTTTTTTCTTGGATGTAGCATCAACTGAAAACTTCAATCTTTCTCTTAATTCATACAAGTAATTTCATTTTCGTATCTTCGTTTTTTGTCTTGATTTTTCGTCTTACATCTTCTTCCTCATCCGACGATTTTTGACTTTTATTCTGTCTCTTTACTGCTGAAGACTCCTTTCACTGAATTCCCTATTCATCACTTATGGCCACAGCTCTTTTTCGTTGTAAGACCTAATTACATTAGGAGAAAACTTCTTAGAAACGAATACAAAACAGAACACAAATTACCAGAAACTGCAAATTAGCAACATGGTTTATTATCGAATGATGCAAAGTAACTGTTCTTTTACCAAATCTTCCACGCTTCTCATTATTCTCCGAAGTGTGATTTGTAGCTTTGTTTCATAATTGAAACTCCAATTCAATTCGAACGAATATGATTGCATCTAAACCTCTTAATTGCAATACCAGTATAACTAGTAATCTCTCTTTTGTAAATGCGCCAGAATGTGGAGGTTAATGACCACTAATCCCCTTATTCTGTACATTTTCGCTTTTAAGGTGAAAAAGAATTGAGCTATACTTTGTCGAGGTAAAAATAGCGAAAACTGGTCCTAATTGCAACATACTTTAGGTTAGAGAAAATTTATTGGGATTTGTGTTATGATGATGTGACAAGTTTCTTGCTTCATTTGAGTTTTTTGGAGCGCAGTTTCAGTACAAAGACAGTTCCGGTTCAAAAATGTAAAGTTCTGAGTACTGCATTTGCACAAAAATGATTACTAGAAAATTTGAGCTGATTCTTCAAAACGGAAAGCAAATCATTGCAATGAAGTCATTTCTGGGTTAGTTGGAATGCAGGAACTTCTCCAATTTCAATTTGTCTTCATAACTAGCAGAAAATTGATGTCTCATGCATTTCTAAATTTTCAAACGCAGAATTCAATCCTCTTACTGTTCTTTATGTGTACCTTTACCTATTTCATACGCCACATTACACATTTCAACATCCGTCGAGGCAAAAAAGTCTCGTACAATCCATTGTGTATGGACGCAACCCCTACAATTTCTAGGTTACCAGTGAGTCATAGGAAAGGGGACTTCCACTGCTACGTTGTTCTTTCGTCTTTGCATTAGTAGCAACTGGATATTCAAAGACTTACCCGATTGCGTCATTCGTGAAGGTCAACCCTTTTTGAGAGGGCTAATGGCTTGTAAAGAGATGGAAAGAAAGTGACGAGAGGGTGATCGAAGTCAACATCGTTATGCAGCGAAAACAGCGGGAAAAGGAGAGGGGTGGGTAGGGAAGGGAGCTTTGAGGAGAAGTGATGACAATAAGGGATTTTCAGGGGGTCGAGCGTTTAAAGTAACTGTAAAACTCGCGGTCGAGTTGTAGATCCATGTGTGCACTGCGCACAACTTCCATCTTTGGCGTCCCCATCCTGGATATGCAATCGCGAAAGCGCAAGAGAATGAACTTGTCATCGCTCACTACCTAAAAAGGAAAGAAAACATAAAGAAAACCCCAATAACACTTATTTAAATAACACTTATTATTCTGCTCCCAGAATCCAGGATGGGGCTAAAGGTGGATTGTGTGTGCGACTCGACTATTGTTGTTGGTAAGTAGTAGAAATCAACAGTTTTAGCTAAAATTCAAGCCTGAAGATCAGATTGGCAAAAACTGGCACAAAAAATTAGTTCAAAGGTTTTTGTTATTCATCCATCGGCTCAGAAGGGTGCAGCATTTTCGTTTACATAAAATTCCATTAGAAGTGAAAATGCTCTCTATACAACTGTCTAGTGGAGTTGCCATAAATTTCTCCCGGGGTGCTCAGGGACTTTTTTCAAAATGGCAAGGTTTCTAAAAATTTTTGGGGTATTACTCAAATTTCTGGCACTCTTTGACTGTGAGAGATTTGGGAATTGGGTGTTGTAATAGGCAAATTTTCCTTGTTAGGGCCCGTTAAAGTTGTGTTCAATTACATAGTTATTTACAAGTCAAAATATCGTTTTTAATATGTCAGAACCCTCAGTGCGCTGGCGAATTGTAGATCGTCTGGGTCAGAACAACATTTATTGGAAAAGGTTCCATGTAGATGTTTCCAGTACTTCTTTTTGTGAACTGCACACCTCCCATGCTGCAAAGACATTCCCATATTTTCATAACTTCTCAATGGGAAACTACCACAATCGATATGATTTATTGTTTTACAGTGTTTGTTTTGCTTGAAACGAAACACGTTTTCGTGCCATTGCGCTTTCTTTCCTTCTCTTATCTTTGCATTTCATCTCGGAAATCTTCTCGACATCAATCAGAATAGCACAAATATTCTCGCTACTTTTTACTCCGCTTATCAATCACCGGTGTTTTCTCGATTCGGCGAAAAAAAAAATCCACGGGTTTCTGTAATCACACACACTTGGTCTTGACTTATGACGCCGTTAAACCGACGGGCGTGCAAGTGTGACCATCGGTGTTTAGTTTCTCGATGTGTCGCGATGGTTGTTTGGTAATTGATCGACATTGTGATTTATCGAGCATTGAATAATAATTGATGGACGGTAAAAGAAGTACTGAAGTAAGGGAAAATGTTTGTTGGCAGGTGGTTATGATTGTTAGGGGACTACTTTCAGTTTCGATGAAACTAATGAGATACCGAGAGCTTCGGAAAAATGATAAATGCAACGGTTTAGATTAGCGCAAGGAAAAACTTCATCTTGAATTTTCCATCAAATAATCCTCTTTGTTATTTGAACCATTTGTCGAAAGAGAAATCCAGATTATCAAAAGAGAGGCGCACATGGAATCGACACGCCTAATCTATAGCCCTTCCATTTGGCACATATTATAGATTATCTTATGTCTTTGGAACTGTAGCATTAAAAGTACTAATATGCCAAAAAATTCCCAAAATTTGCACACTTTGTAGTACTTAAACTGTAGCCAAGTTTTCAATTCAGCAAAGGTAAAATGATTTTGGTGTTTCTGAGCTCAAAGGCACCTTCAACCAAAGTAAGGTGATGAGGTTGATTATGATGTTGTATAGTAGCATGGTCCCTAACTAAGCAATTGCCCAAGTCTCGCTGCATAAGGTTAATTCCAAAGCGAGAAAACCGCTCAAGAACACAGAAGCGGAAACGCTAGCTCCGCCCATCAAAGTGGGTGGCTCAAAATTGGCTTCAGGGTAAATAGGAATGTCAGAAATTCAGCAAACGTATTGAAAGGTGGGTTTATTTCAATTCTGGTACATCAAAGCTCAACTTTGACTTTCACCTTTAGACCACCCACGTTGATGGGCGGAGCCAACCCGACCACTTCTACCTTCTGAAGCGGTTTTTTCGCTTCGGAACTCACCTTTTGCAGCGGGACTTGGGCGATTTTTTTGGTAGTGGAGCTGCTATTATACAGCGCCAATATCTTATCATCTTGGGTGGACTGTGCCTTCAAAGTGCCAAAAGGGGCTGGTCTCCTCCCATATATGTATGTAGTTACGTTTCATACAGTCGGAAGTTCTGCTATAAATCTACACCCTTATAAATGCCGCAGTTTTTGCGTAACATCATTTTTAGCGTTCGAGACGGAAATTTTGGGAGCAGGGCTCAGCTGTGTTGGCGTTTTCACACGCTGGATGCCGTTTTTGAGAGGAAAGCAAAAGGGAACCCGTGAAGTTTCCAGAGGTGACTAGCCGCACTGCCAAATCATTAACAAGCACAGCTCTAACTCTCAGTAAGCCCTAGTTAGAAGTTCTAACGCCAGTTCACCAGTAACGGGTGCGAGACGGGCGACCGTGCTTTCCATACAGGACCACCGCCGCGATCAACATATCCTGCGGCGGCTCTTGCCTAGGCAAAACACAGCGGAAGAAAAGATTTGCCGCGTGCGTAACGTGTTAAGACAGGTCATCAGGTGGTGCTGGAGGCTCCCCGTGCGAAAAGGCCGTCTCCAAAGGCTACTCCGAGACGAAGGCGAACGACCATGTAAGGGAGGCGTTCGCGAGCGTACGTCTAATGATGAGAGATGTTCGAAGGCCGCGCTCGCATACGCTTCGCAGAGTGTGCCCCTGCCTTCGACATACCTTAGTGTTTTATAAGCACGGTCAGTGCATAGACTTTTGTACACAATTCGAACGTGTCAAAACATAATTTTTTTTACAATGAGAAAGCAATAATAAGCCATCAAATTCGGTATGGGGCATTTGAAAAATCGTGCCGATGGCGCGACGGCGCGCGACATGCATGCCACTTCCGGTCACATTTTCTTGGTTTTCATCTCTAATCGAATGGTTCTTTGCTTACGTATGGTAATATTTGAACACTGGAAGTGACTGAGCTGAACGTTGAGGTGATGCCTTTTTATTCTCCTTATGTGGCGTTTCATGCTCCTGTGGGCGTCGCAGTAAAATCCAATCCAATAATCGTCACGATTTTATGAATGGACTATATATATATCTTTGCGACTGCGCTCAAAATAAAACTACGAAAAATTACTAGAAATTCATGTGAATGAAAGCAGTCAGGTTTCTGATCTGAGATTGCGCGAGACTAAACAAATTCATTTTGTCCTTTCTTCACACATTTTTTTGATAAAATTTCGCACACAAGTCTACTTTTTGATTTAAACTCTACTCAGTAGTGCTCATCCTGACCCAAGTTTCGTCCCCTTTGCTCTGCCAGCCGCCTCTTTTTGCCTTTGGCTGTTTTGTTTTTAATTTTTCTTTTTTTTGCATTTTCCTCAATTCAATCTTCTTACAAATAAACGTCGTTCGCTGCGGATTATTCGCCTCTCTTCAAAAATCACACGGTTTCAAACTAATATCAAGAGACACTTATTTTTCAAACTTTTCCAATGCCACCTGGCTGAACCCTGCACGGGAGCTCTTTTGTTAAACATTTGCTGCGAAAGTAGCAACTATACCAACGTTAAATTAACAATGCCATAAAAAATTTATCAATCACATATTTCTGATTTCTTTAATTTATTTCGTATGCATGTTCCCAAATTTTTGCAGCTTTGCACAAATCGCTGCATTAATCCACGAAAATGCGAGCAAATGCCATCAATTCCATAAAAACATAAAGTGCAGCGAATCCTTACGAAAAAAAACGTTCGTTTCACGCCGAAAGCTGACGCATTGAATTAGTTTTGTTGTGTGGCAGAATGTATGCGGAGAGAAAGACGGAGAGAGAGCGAAACCTGTACGATGATGCGATTTTAGACAGCGATTGAGCGCATCGCTGCGATTCCGCATCGTCGCCACCACCGTCCATTGCACCTCTAATCTGTTCGCGACCTTCTAGCCATTGTCAGGCACATTTTGACGGTTTTAGAAGGGGAATTTGAAAGACATCGTTTGGAAAAGGCGGGGGAGGGGGGCTTGAGGATGGCGTTGTTTTTACGACTTTGCTTTCCTTTCTCCCCGCGAAAACTCTGACAAGCACCCTATACCCCCCCCTACGTGAAGAATGGATGGTCTCTGAGTCTCTCGAGTCACACACACTGTTCATCATGGCCTTTCTTTGCAACATTTCCGTCAGCCCATCCCCTCCTAATCGAAGTCAATTGGCATCACATTAGTTGCCGACTGTTTAGCGCCAACAATTGCGCTCCCCCGAATGCGATCACATCATGAGAATGAGGGGTTTTAGGGGAAATCTAATGAAAAAAGTGTGAGTATGGAGAAAAAGTGATTTGGTGAAAGAGAAAATGACACGGAAGGTCTGAAAAAGAGTTTATTGCTACTCTACCTAGGAGAACCTATTTAGGGCGGAAATCATTATTTTCGGAGGTACTTTAGCGCTGTACCAATTCAAATTTGTGAAATAGAATTTCATGAAAGAGCTTGCGGTGGAATAAAACAAAAGAGTAAAAGTAAATTACAAAATTACGAGAGTGATAAAGTAGAATAATAATACAACATTCGTAAATACAATGAGTCTGCTCATATAATATCTGCTCCAGGACTAAGGCGGTTGCCCAAATAAGTTGAAAGCATGCAAGGCTGGCGCGCACGCGGCGCGCGGGCGATTGTTAACCACAGGGCGCGCGCACGCTCCCGTAGATGACCGCTGACGGTGCATGCGCGCGCCCTGTGGCTGACAATTGCCCGCGCGCAGCAGCCTTGCATGCTTTCAACCTATTTGGGCGACCGCCTTCGTCCTGGAACAGATATTAGTAGTATACAGTTTGAACAAAGTTCCCCAAATGTAAAAAATCCACCTTCTAGCAATCGATTTAACAAAATTCAAGAAATGGTCAGTTTCTATGAAAAAATTTTCAAAATTTGAACTTGGTTTGGAAAAGTAAGTTCGCGTTATCGTTTGTCGAAATTCTACCATGGTTAAAAAATATCTTTTTCACTCAAATTGTCGAGTTTAGGGAAAGAGTTGAGAAATTTGTTGGACTCTTGTCTTGTCTCTTTTGTTACTTTTCTCCTACCTTGTTCCATCTAACTAGCATTTGAACTCATCCATTTAAAAATTTACTTTTCTTCCTCTTAACCAAACTGGTAGGGAACCCTCACAGCTTTTGCCTAAACATGGTCCAAAAGTATATTTTAGAAATTTCTCTTTTCAGAGGGTTTCACACAATGTGTACATCGCGGAATGTACCTCTGCGGCCTTTATCTCTTCACCAAAGTGCTCTACTTACTTCAAGTCCTTGCTCAATTTTTGATTCTCAACAGGTCTGTTTCCAATGAAATTATTACATAAATCGTCAGAAAAGTTGCTGTTTCAGCTTCCTTTCCACAAGCTATACAATGTGGGGTTTTGGTATTTTGAATGATTTGCTGCATGGGCGCGAATGGGAAGAGAGCGGACATTTCCCGCGGTAAGTAGAACTTTCTTATATTATCGTAGTATATTCAGTCGCGTTTGCTAAAGGCACACCTCGTGTATCACAATAGATAAATGAATAATCATTGGGGGCGTATGGAGTTCTTGCCCTAAACGTAGATAGAAATGCAATTTGATGCGAAATTCGAGGAAAGAAGCCTCATTTGATGGATGCACATCTTTTGCTTCAAATTCGCCAAATTTTAAAATTTCTAGTTTGATCGTATCAGTCATGGAACTCGTTTATTGTAAATTTTCTAAGGTGTGGAATTTTCAAATCTCTAGAGATGTAATAGCTGAAAAAGAACGAAGTTGATTTTGTCGCCACATAATGAAATTCAGCAATTATGGGCAAATCTATGGGGGATTTTCTCGCTTCTATCTTATTCATAGCTTACAAAATTTGTCTGTATGTACTTTAGTAGAATCATTAAAAGCTGAGACTTATCTACTACCCGGAGAGAGTTTAGATTTCAACTACGTCTAAGGAAAGAGAAGAAACGGAGTGAAACATGTGAAATATCTCTTCTTTATAATAATGCAGAAATGATATAAAAATTTAAGAAACTGGCACCTTACATTTTTCCCTTTTCCGTCTTCTTTCGACCCCTGCACTTATGACTTTTTGATTTTCTCCATCCCCTCTTCCGCGTTCTTTTTCGCATAACTCTAAACCTATTAGTACGAAAGAATGTCGCTGATGGCTTTATTTGACAATTAGGACTACGTAAACAAGCCAATCAACCCGCCCACCAGTCTCCTCCCCCCTCCTTGTCGCCTCTTGCTGACGAGGTTCTCATTGATGAGGAAAAAGCTCGTCAGCAGTATTCTGCTCGATTTGTATTGTGTATTTGTCTCTTCGTCATTGATGGGACATATGACCTTAGAAGTGAATAGATGCCTTCGCTGACCCTATTTGGGTCGAGTGAAATGGTATCGGCGGTATAGTCAAATGACTTTGGTACTCGGGTACCAATGCCGACGCAGCAATAAAAGGTGGGTAATTAATCGCAACGGCGTCCGATAAAGAAGCGCCATTCCCTTGTAGGTAATGTGAGTGGACATCAGGGTGAAAAAATTTGTCCGAACTAGTAAAGAGACACGTTATATTTTTCGCTGATTTATTGACTAGATTTCTTGCTAGAAAAGCACTTGCAATATCAATTGCTTCGACTGGGACTTTACTGCTATACGAGTGCTGTGTACTATGAAGGTACTTATAATGAAAAATACTTGCTACTATTTAAAAATTAAATGCAGCTTGATGAATTTTTTCAAGAATTTTTGATGATTTTTTCAGAAATGTTAATTAGGTTGTGAATACTTACATCAGTGAATTTGCTGCCCGCATCCTAATTAACATATTGAGAGTCCACAGTCCACTCCAATTAGTGTGGAACTTTTAATGCAAGGGAAATAAGGGTTGTCATCCTAGCGATAATTAATGCGTGTTTACTAGAGAAGTGATATCGTGAAATGATTCTAGAAGTTGAAATTTTCACAAATGCCATTTATTTTTTGGAGCATTAGGTTTCAGATACTACCGGCTACTGATGTCGCCTTTATACATCTGGAGAAGACCACATCAAGAGGAAAATTTATAGGTTTTCAATGAGTACCCAGGGTTTCCGTTTGGGGAGGGGGGAGGGGTGGGGGGCGACAAAAATTTTTTTCAAATAAAGGTGCTGGCCTTAGTCACGCGCTTCAAAAAAGTTTTTGAGGTGTCTCCCGAAGTTTTTGCGGGCACATAAAGCCAAAATCTAAGAAAAGAGGGGTGGTGTACACAGGGCTAATTCGAGTCTTCAAAAAATTTAAAAAATTCTCAGAATAGTTTACAAGTATAGAGAAGTCATTTGCACATTTCTATAACTCATGTAATAACTTTCAAAAATTTCGCTACCCATTCTCGGGAGGGGGGGGGGGTCAGATTGGTCATGGTAATGAAGAGGAATTCAGCAACATCCAATTACCATTGCCAAAGATGTGAAAGTGTGAATTTTACCATCTAAACTTCTTAAACTTTTGGGTCCTAATACAGCCCTATCCGATTCTGATATTTTTAGCACAATTATTTTCCTGCTTACAAACTTGCTTCAAGCAAAAATTTCGTCCAGCATGACCTGACTCGTACATTTGATCTTATTTCTTGTCACTTATAAATTTGGCATTCACCTACTTCTTGTTTCTGCGTCAGTTTTTACAACCTCGTGAACTGGAGTCTGGTTAGATTGGACAGGTTCTTGTTTGTTATTGCATAGCAATGTAAATCTGTTTTGGGCTGGTAAAAACAATGAACACAAAGTGTGGTGGAAAGGAACATGGAGAACGATTGAGGAGTTCGCTAAAAATATTCACAAAAGTTACACGAAATGTTTTATACGATATTTTATTTTTCAGAGTCACTATGTGCGATTTTGAGGTCCGAGTACTTGGAAATAAACATCGTCACTCCGTTCAATGTGTGCTAATGATCAACATGTTCAACGAGAAGGTAGCTTTCTTCAATAACTTTTGACGCGAAATTCAAATAACATTATTATTTTGAAAGTAATTTTCATTTACAGATTGCTCAATAGCTTTTTTTATGGTAAAGGGGTGAAGCGGGAAGGGGTAGGGGGGAGAAAGAGAGAAGGAGGAAGAGATCACTGAAATATAAATGAAAATGGTCTCTATAAGTAGTAAATATCAGTTTTTTCTAGCCAAACATCGATATTTCAAAGAGAAAAGTAAACTGAGTATATAAGGGAAAGTTTATGTCAGACTAAATTTCGCCCCTGTGAGTTCTAAAACCGCCGCTTGGGCATATTTGAGGTTGATCTACTAACAAGGGAACGATCCCAACTTAAGGTGGCGAACTGGAATGAACCGCATATCATTAGATGCGTCTTGATGTGCTGATTGCAAATCTACCTTCCATATCTGCGACAACGTCATCTGGAAGAAGTTATGAAAGGTTAAAAACGCACAGTAACAGGGGTTTTAGTGCATAATTCGCTTCAAAATCCAACTTGGGAGTGTACGACTAGCATGATATTGAGTGTACTGATTTCAAGGAATGCACACATATAAAAGAAGCACAAAGAGGTGTTTTTGAACAATTAATTCTCGAGGTATGGCGCTGTATATCTGCCCAATAGGCATTTTTCGTTGCTCATAGCTTTTATCAGGAACTTTAGTTGCTTTTTACTTGTTCAAAAAATCTTATTTGTGTTTCTTTTGAATGTGAGCATTCTTTGAAATCAGTACACTCAATATGATGCTAATCGTGCACTTCCAAGTTGGATTTTTAAGCAAACTATGCATCAAAACCCCCGTTACTTCACATTTTTAACCTTTCATAACTTCTTCCAGATAATGTTGTCGCAGATATGGAAGGTAGATTTGGAATCAGTTCATCAAGACGCATCTAATGGTATGCGGTTTATTCCGATTCGCCACCTTAAGTTGGGATCGTTCCCTTGTAAGAAACAATATAAAGAACTAAAAACTTTCCTTATCTTGACACTTACTTGGTTCCATACAAAGCCGCTGCCACTGCAGCACTTCATATAGTTCACTCATGGTCAAGAAACGTACTGCTAAGTTCTCGCCCAGTACCGTACTATCTCCAACGTACCAGCGCTATCGACTACAGTGTTGGGCAAAACTCAAGGGACCCATCATACTTCGCTGAATAAAACCCAAAAGCGCCAGAAAGAGCCGGAATGCGGGACTTTGGTAGAATTCTGGCATTATTTTGATCGCAGACAGAAAATGGTGCAAAATGACTTGATTGTGAAATCAACACACATACCTTTTTTTCTGCCGCTTGGGCTTTTTTCGGCGAAGTATGACGGGTCCCTGAAAGTTGGTTTTTTGCCATAAACCGATTATACGAGCTGTTACATGAACAATAGCTTACGTTAGCTAGATTCTCCAAAAACCCAAAAGGAAGACCCTCACAGAAGCCAAGGGTAGAAGTAGTGCTCGAGTTCCTTAGTAGAGATGATGAAGATGAGTTCTTTAAAAGGGGACATTACCTTATCACTATCCTAAAAAGCTTTGCTGAAAATCATGGCACCACCAAACTGTCTGCGTGTCTTTAACTCTCTTAGGCCCCGGATAGACTTCACGCGATTTGATTGTCGCGACTGAATCGCGACGAGACAACTGTTACAACATCATTCCATGCCGATCAACTTGCATTTCGGTTGTGATACTTTTCCAGCCCGAAATTTTTGAAAGTGAAATGAAAATGAATGGAAATGTCGGCGATTGAGTCGCGACGATCAAATCGCGTGAAGTCTGTCCGGGGCCTTAGATGGCAAGTCTGAACTGTTTTGGCGAAATTTCCATATTATCTACCAACTAACAGGTGTATCAACCAGAAAAAGCCGATATTTAGGTGTATCTCTTCATCTGGTATTGGCTGTTCGGTGTTGCCATCTACACTGTTGGTAATCTCATCTATTGGTGCTTCACACTGCTGTCCGAAGAGAAGCGATTGAACTTTGTCGGCTCTTACCTCAAACTGCTCGGTCTCGTCAGCGACGAGGACATCTCTGGTTTGTTCGCGATGGCCTTCGCACACTTGTCTTTTTCCCAAACAACCCATTAACTCATGCCATGTCGTTTCTAGGCCAACGTGCGCTGAACAAATTCGTGCAAAGATCGTTGCGTGCCGATGGTGTGTTTATACTTCATCTCATCTCGAAAAATGCTGGCGATTTGATTACCACCGACATCATCGCTACTCTATGGGGCAGATTCTTAGAAGATGAAGCTCAGGTACGAGTTCTTGCACTTGAATAAGAAGCCTCTTCTCCCAGACGTTTTCAAGCGTGAATCCATGCCGTCCGTTTACTAGTGGTTCACAGAGGGGCGGAGCAAAAAGTGGGCGTGCCAGGTAGACCGAAAATGACAGCATCTTGTCTTCTTCCTCTAATAATTTCCAATTGCGCTCGAGTCTGCCCAATGCGTAGGCTGTCGCAATAATAGCGTCACAGCTTCAGCAGCACAAATCCCAGCGGCCGCCTCGCTTGTGCTTTGCTTGCGTTCGTGAACGTATCCTCTGGGCATTTTCCCGCGTCTCAACTACCAAAGGCTGATGAGCGCGATTAGAGGATACGTCGCGAACGCGGCGCAAGGCCCGAGCGAAGCGGCCCGAGGGCTCGACTCGCTGAAGCTTGACACCGCGACTGAAACGGCATATAATAACATTTGGAGAGTCACAATCCAAACCTCCAGCCATTTTCAGGAGGCCGAAGGAGCGCCGGCGCCAACGCTCGAAGATGTGGACGGGTTCAAGGAGCGACTTGACAAGCAACCACTCAACGTCAACTAGTTCAATTACAATAGCTCTATAGCTCAGAGACTTTCCAGCTGGTCGTATTCGATCAGTACGCGCTCATTTTAGGGCATGCACAGCTAATTCGTGTGTGGCACTGCCAAAGATTTCTAAGTTTCGTCGTATTATATGCCTAGTGTGCTTGTATGAGTTGGAGAAATTTCCTGCCCCGCCGTCATTGTCGAGTTTTCTCAGAAGAAGAAGCTTTCAGAAGAAAAAAAACTATTAGCCAGCGTTTTGCCTTATGACGTAGTCTACAAGTTCCAAAACAAAATTCAGTCCAGTCATTTTTCTACTAGTATCGAAGGTGTTATATGAGAAAGTTTCAATTTATCTACCAGTGCCGATTGTGATGTTTTTACTTTGTTCAACAGATAGACAAACATAAAGAGATCTTTTAACCTCATTAGGAAAGTACGAATAGTATCGCACATATCCATATGTTTGTGTATTTTCTTTTGAGCTTACTTTGTACACGTTGTCATTCATTCCGTTTTCTATGGTCGAATTCACGAGCCTTCCATGCTTCACTGATTCATAACTTCTCTTGATTGTCCGATTCAGTCTTTATCTGTGTTGATTTGATCCACATACGCGTTATGCAATAATAAATAAAACAATAATGAAAAGATAGCACATGAGATAATGCAAATGTTGTACATAACGGTGTTAATACACCTTATGGCATATTTAATGTCTCAAAAGACACAACCTTATTTGCTGAGCAAACTCTGAGTACACGGGAGAGGTCCTTCATGAACTTCATCACCTCATTTTGTTTCTCAAAAAGGTGACAAAGTCCAATAGGTTGCTCTTGTGGAGTTTGCCCGGCAGAAAAAAAACGAGTGCAAAATCTTATAACATGATAAGGGAAAATTAAATACCTTATAATGAAACCTACAAATATGGCGCATGCATACTGTCTAAAAATCTAATCTACCCACGTCCACCTCCAAAACGCTTCTTCCAGTTCTGCTTCCGCCGCATTTTCCGTTTCTGCTCAGCTGATACTTTACCTTTCGCAAAGGATTTTTTCTTCATATTGATACGTACAAAGTTTCCCTTTTCCTCCTTTTTCCTCTTCATACCAGCATTCGGAGCGGACCTGAAAGGGGAAAATTACTATGCCTTTGATAATGGATTCCGTTCCATCTCCTAGTTTCACAAAGTGGCAGGCTCTTCTAATACCAGGTGAGATCTTACCTGTATCCATTCTTCTTTCAAAAATCCAATATAGAGAAAAACTATTACTCTGATGCTAACGCTAAACTTTTAATTTGAAAAGTATGCACAGCAGAGCAAAAGAAGAAAAATCGTAAAATATTTAAAACGTGAAGGGCTTGAAAAGTTGTTGAAAATTTGTGATCGCTTTTCATTGAAAACCATGAAAAAGCAGATGGTGCTGTTCCAAAAATTGAACAAGACAGTAAAACAAACCTCTTGAATGCTCTTTTTACAACTTTCCCAGTTGTTGGATCGAAAGCTGTTGCAGTATCCTTTTTGTGGCTGGAAAAAAAGCGAACAGAATTAAGAATAAAATTAGTTTCCCGACTACAATACGGATACCCGATCAGTCAAAAATTGAATAAGTTCCTAAGGGAAGATAATGGACTGTGTACTTACACTCCGGCCAAAGTCTTCTTCAAAGCCACTATCTCGGGTTCGAACGGCTTCATTTCCTCAGGCTTGCTCCGTTTTTCAGGCGTTGGTAATAGCAGACACTCCGCATTCTAAAATTCAGTCCTCACAAAGTTCCTCAATTCAACTTCTTCAAGTGATTTCTTACATTCACCAAAACCTCCTTATGCATAAGTGGCTTCCTTGGTGAGCGTATGGGCGTGCTTGGTGGATTGAGTGCTTTTTGAGGGCTGGGTTCACCCCAGATTGCAGGCTTTCCTCAAAAATACTCCAACTTTAGTAATTAGCATTAAGTTCTACTAAATAAGACATAGCATAGGATTAGAATAAGAAATTCCGTCAATAAGTTCAACCTCTGCGACTACTGGACTTTTCCAAATGTGCTATAGCAGTTCGCAGAACACCTTACGGACAGAAAGCCTGTCGGTGGTTTTTCTTCCGCTATACCCATGCTGGCAATCTGAGACGCTCCCGCGCAATTGTATAAACGATATCGAGGATGTCAATATGTCATGCAAAGGCTGATTCCCAATGAAGGCGGTTAGTTCAATATGCAAAACGACTGCGAACAGCGTGTCAGATCCCTTCCTAGAGCACCCACGCCCGCGCACGTGACGCGATCACAGGCAGCCTCTTTGCAACTACCTTTAGACTTATAACGTTAGCAAAGAAAAAGCTTGACCTATGCATGTGATGTCTTGAAAAAGCACCCTAGTGAAAACCAGTTCTCATAAGCTAACGCTAAAATCAAAAGAAATCTTTGCCAGAAGTGCATATCTACCACGAATAAATGACACAAACAAGCCAGAAAAATATGTACTATACCTTTTTCTGGTGTGTCGAACAGACTCGAAAATCCAGACGATACCTGAAAGTATTTTTTTCATAATGAATCTCTTTTGCTACGCGTCTAGAAATTCTCCTCCTCAATCCAACCTCCCGTGCACTCACAAGTCCCGAGATTGAACGAAGGGCAACTAAACTGAGCGTGGAGTCGTTTTGACCACGCTAATATAATTGGCAAAACTAATCCAATCACAATAGAACAACGGGACCCCACGCAGCGAGCCTCACGGGGCAAGCGAGATGCGAAGATGGAAGAGAAGATTTCTGAATTCACCTGCAATCTTTTGATAGGGGAGGCAAATTTCGGTTGCGAAGGTGACTGTAGAGATGTCGACTGGATCTCCCTGAGTGCCGCTAATGCTCGACCTCTGGGAGTTCGTGACGTAGTCGAAGGAGAAGTTGGCTGGATAATGAACCCTGCTTGTCTTATTGTAGCAACCTTAGATCTAAATTACCAGTGAGAGCTCGCGATTATTTCTAGCCTGCACGCTTTTTCTAGGGCTAGTGCGAAGTCCAGGTGTCTGGTCTCTGTAAAGCCGACGCGCCTTCGTCGGTCTCTGTTTTAATGGGCTGTCATCGTCTGCTGGCCTTTTTAGTCGCACTCCACTTTTTACGTGGGTAACAGCTTGCTCTTCACGATTAGGCGTGGGAGGATGTTCAGCGAAGTACTCCTCTGAAATTCATTTGTTGACATACTTGCCAGACACCCCTTGTCCTTCAGTTATGTACTGAAGTACCTTTCTTTACAATTTATGCGGCATGTTCAGCGATCCCTTATACGTAATTGCAAAAAGGATCAAATTATTTCATAGAAGGCTGTAAATCACAAGGAGACTTGTCTGAGACATGTGTGATGGGCTTTACATTTTTGCACACTAAGCAGACCAAACAGCATCTTGACTCTATTTCACTCCGACTTTTTTTTCATCTCACACTATAGAACGGGAATGTCGCAATTCGAAACAAAGACCTGCTTTCATGCAAAGAGCAGGTACATACTCTCATCTCTAAAAGGTCACTTACACTTTTCTTTGCTCACCCTTTCCTTTTGAAGAGAAGAGAGTAAAGCAGATGTACCTTTGGATAATGACACGCTTTCAGCATTGATTATAGCACTTTAGACAAATAGTCATTTCAAAAGGCTAAACAAACATAAGGAAGCTACATCTATCTAATCCCACGCAAAATCGAAAAAGTTTTATTACGTAAGATGAGTGCATGCAGATGATTTTCTACCGCAGCAATTCCCCGTTTCGCCTACGCACACGCTAACTGCTCATTTCCTATTCTGAAACCTCTATGAATTCAATAGTACGTACAGACAGACATGACGCTGCACGCTAAAAAATCACATTACTCTTAAGGCAAACTGACGAACGATCAAGACGATTAACATATAGATATATACCTCTCTTTTTTGAAACTATGAGCTAAATTCAACGAACTCATTCATGTGACAATGCGTCATTAAACGTTCCCCGAAAAAAGGCAGGCTAACCGTGCTTACGTATATATATGAAGTTGATGCAAATGCAGTAATATCCCTACATTTTCTAAATAAACAGAAGCACACTAACACTTTCAATCTAGATCTGAAATCCTTTAGCGAACGAGATCTGTAAGCAGCTGAATGCCGCAGATAAAAAAACTGCCCACTCAAAGGACGAACCACTTGAAAGTAGAAGGGGGGGGGGCATGTGAAAAAAGTAGAGGTAACGTGCATGTCCTTTATAGTGTGCCTTTTCCACTTTTTTTGAAGCTCATTGTAGCACAAAAATCAGCCTGCATTTCCATCGTCCTACGCATTGAAAGAAATTGTTTGTTCCTTGATACGTTTATTTTTGCTCATATGCTCATTGCAGTTTCGCGTGTTTGCGAAAGCACACGTCATTCGCAAATAATTGCTTAGGAGTACTAAAATGAATTTATTTGCGCCACGAAAAAAGGCGTAGGAAGGAGATACCTAGCTATTGGTAACCGTTCAGTAGTGCAAAAAGTTCCAAATCATATTTTTGATGGGAGTTTGCATAGACTTGGCTGTGTTACAAAGCTGAAAAAAAAAAGAAGACAGGACAAAGACTGTACCTTTTACGACTTTTGGAGCCACTTGGTAATCACTCTTTGTAGGTGTTTTACCATAGATCTCCTTAAAAGCTTCGCGCCATTTTGTTGCAGCTGGCATTTCCTAAATCTAAAACCTTTATCACCCTAGCAACTTTAAAAAATATGATGTTCAAAGAATATGCAAATCAAAACAGTTGCAAAAAACAAAATGATGATAAGGTTGGTTCAGACTTTCTAAGCAAAAAAAGAGAAATAAAACCAATTGAAAAATAAGGAAAAACAAAAAGATGGCTGCATTGGCTTGCAGAAAAAGAAGTGATGCAAAAATGTTATTCAAAAACAACAGCAATTGTATGAAGAGAAATGCATTCACCAAGTAAACAAGCTTGAACTTTGCAAAAACTGTTGCCCAAATAATGAAACATGGAAAGATATATATGTAACAGAAAAACATTACATTACACAAGTATAACAGAATAAATAAAAAAGACGAAAAAGGGACAGAAGGTACTGTTTGAAGAGTGACTTGTTTGAAGGAACAATGTTACTTTGATGGATTCAACAATGGCAGCCCAATAAAAAGCGGCGGAAAACGAACTCAAAAAATTTAAAGTCAGATGATGCAGCGGACAGCATCACAGATTTTCCCATATCAGATGGAGGAGTATGAAAGTTTTTTGCTTTAGCGCTACTGAGCCTCCATGCTCACCCCGTGCAAAACGACGAGGATGACATCGGCACATTCAAATAGCGACGCTTCCCGCGCGCTCGCCCCCCGCGATAACCGCTCGGTGCTTTTGATGAACAAATACATGTGGCAATTGTTCAACGCTTTTCATAAATGCGTCCTAAACGTCTAGACGTGGTTGAATCTGTGATGAACTACGATATCGCTCATAATCAAAAATCGCTGAACTTCGTTGAAGTTCACCAAAACTGGCGTCGCTTCGCCTTGGATGTTTGAGAGTGATGATGAGAGTGATGAGAGTGATGTTTCTGAAAACCATGTCACCATTCCACTCAGCTCGGCAAAATGCATCCTTCGATATATAAATGTGCCCGTTTGAATGCTGCAGACTGTCAGATTCCATAGATTTTACGGTAGGTTACACAGTGTGCAATGAATCACCTTAACCTACAGTAAGCCAAAATCGAAGTTTTGTGAAATCTGTCCGATTACCTTGCGCCATCGAAAGGACGCCTCTTTGTATCGAAAAATGCGCCTCCTCTAGCTGCGAACGGTGCCTTTGCCCACTTTGAAAGAAGAAATGGAAATACTACGCGGCTTTCGGTATACTCCGTGTCGGGATAAAGACACGACCCGAACTTAACTCTTTGTCCTAAATTGTTTACATTTCATTATGTTACTCATTTCTGGCACAAAGAGCCTGCCACATGGCTGACACTTTGTGCTCATCGGCCAGCCTCCTCTGGGCCGAGATTCCCGCACTCTTGATATTGTCGTGTGCCGGAGATAGCCGCTTATTTTGTTGCTAATAAATCTATCTAATCCCTCTAGTGTCGTCAGGGGCACGAAAAGGGCAAAGGGATCCCACTGAACCACCACACTCCGGCGAAGGCGGCGACTTTTTTGGACTAATCATGAGCGGTATTGTTTGTAGCCTAATGGTATCGATACGGAGCAATCTTAGAACATTGGTCTGCGTGGGTTGGTAAAAAAATTCGAGAAATAGATAGCGATTTATAGATGATATCATCATGCATTATGCATAGTTCCTCTGATGTCAAGTCACTGTTGAGTCACGCTTAATATTAAAAAAAATGAAATAATTGCCCATAAGTAAATAGAAATATATACTCACCCACACTTGTCGTCAGATCACGCCACTTGGCATAATTGCATGACTTTTTGATTTTTGAAGTGGCGTAGAGCAAGCCAACTTGTATCAAGAGCAAGTTACATCTGGAATCAATAGCCTGACAATCTGAGGATGTTGAATAACATATATATGTTGGAAAAATCCAAACTATAGAGGATTTTTCGACCATTCCAATCTCTAAAAGAGTTCGCAATGAGACCCATTAAACCCCCGCCATACAGGCGAAGAAAATTGAAGGAAATTACGAAGAAATGATTTAGAAGTGGATAACATAGATGGTACAGACATTGTACTTACCAAGTTCATAATGATGTCATTACGATAATACGTTATGTCTTTGAGCTGATAGAGTGGATGAAGACCTGAAAAAAGGGCCCATTTGTTGTAGTGAGAAGCTATAGCACGTAGGGTCTAAGAATGAGAGGTACGATGAAATGAATGAATACTGTGATAGAGTTCGAAAATCCAAAAGGAAAGGTTAAAAGGTGCGACTTTCCTATTTTGTTCCCGAATAGTCGCGAAATGGTTCAACCTCCTGGAAGGGATGTTATCGCTCGGGGCCGAACAGCGACCGTGGCTGGCAACATGCTGGCACCATGCAACAACATGTTGCCTTCAATCCTAGCAGCCAACATGTTGTTGCATGTTGCCAACATGTTAGCCATGTCCGCAAGTCAGAAACGCAGAGCAGGGGTAAAGTCGACTGCAAAATTGCTCATATCGCTGTAGTTTGACACACGCGAGTATGGCGCGCGCGGCTGCCGACTGCTTTTCCATCAGGCGACAACGCCAAACGTAGCCCGCAAGCCACCGATTTAGCCGAGCGCCAGATACGCTCGCAGGCGTTAGCACAGAGGCGATTCCTGCAGTCGACCACAGCAGCAATCGGAAAGTGACGCTACACCTGAAACACCAGGATTTTGCTGGCACAAATTGCCGGCATTGCAGGCGGGGGGGGGGGGGGGGGGGGTAGGGGAACGAAAGCCGCCAGCTTCGGTCGCCTGCGCGGACTGCTGGTCCTGGAACGACATGCAACAACGTTGCGAAAGGACCGCCGCCATGCATGTGCAAGAGTATAAAGGATTATATGTCGTCAAAAGAAGGCGGCCTCCGCGGTCATTTGCAACACATGCGCATCTTTGCACATGCCTGGAAATGCGTTTTTGCAAGAAGTCCGCGCGGCCCACCTAATTTCGGCGATATAGTCTTCCACCTTAAGCGCAAGGATGCGTATTTGTTGCAAACGACCGCGGGTGCCGCCCTCTTTCGCGACATGTAATCCTCTATCTTGCAAGCGTACAGTATGTACTCGTACTCGGCGAACTCTCTTTCGCTAGGGATTACGCATACGCAAAGCAAAGACCTTGCATGCGAACCTTCAATTGATGAGGCCAAAATGCTCAAGCCGTACGCGCGCGTGGCGCGGAGCTCTGGCATGGCGATCACGTTTGGAGAAAAGGAGCACGTGATTGACACAGACTATATGTATGTAGCATGGCTCCCAGATTGACGCGAGGGCGGAGTGGAGCGAGCGTATCAGCGCTGCGGTTGTCCACTGTTGGGGCATAGTTGATAAATTGACTATCGGTTGACTATCGCGGCGGCCCTAGCGCCAATTGGGAGCCAATGGTAATTGTGCACAAATTTTGCGGTCCACTCGGTCCCAAAAGCGTGTATTATTTATCAGAAAGGCAAAAGCAGTCAAAATTTTTTTCAGCTAAAAACACAGAAGGCGATAATATTGAACAGCTGGTAACCAGCACTTGTGTGCTATTTCTTGAAGACTCTTGGAGCACTTGGAAATTTGACTTGGTGACAGCTAGAGATGCTCTCTTCTATCTCTCCTGGATGACCCGCTTTTTTCGACTGAGACTGAAGAAGGAGGAACCAGCTCAGTCTAACGTATGCAAGCTTTTGTTCTAAAAGAACGAGGAACAAGCAGAAGAAGAGAAGGCAAGTGCTGCATACACTTTCTAACTTCCATTTTCTTTAGATGAAAGTGCACCTCAAGCAAGGAACCTGGTACAGTCTTTCTCAACCCGGAGTAGGTGAACCTCTCAAGTGGAGCAGCGCTCCGCACCGCCACTGACTCAGCGAGATAGATTAGAATGAAGAGACGCAGACTGCAAAACGGCGCGAATTGTTGCTCCAATTTCTGCCTAAATTGAGTTGAAACTTACTATATTTTGAACATGGTTTTTACCGAGTCTCTCCAAATATACGGAATTTATTTGAGCAAAAACAACTTGATACAAGCAAAAGGCCTATAGACTGAAAGGCGTACTTCGAGCGATTGAGGAAATTTGGAGAGAAGTGTGCCCTAAAAAAAATCTGTCAGCAGTTGGTTGTTGTCGGAAAACTATCACAACCTTAATGCGAAATGATCGGCATGCAGTGGACTCGTAACACTTGTCTTGCCGAGGGAATCGCGAGGTGATGAAATCGCGTGATGTAGGGCATTAAAGGCACCGTCCACCCTAAATTGAGGGTGTTGAGTTTTTGGCAGCCTGTAATAGTAGGGCCCCCTATCAATCCAATGCCCAAGTCGCGGCACAAAATGCCGCTTCGGAAGCGAGAAAATCGCTTCGAAATAGCGAAGATGCACGAGGACCCCCATCCATGCCCCCCTCCCCCATCCATGCCCGCCCACCTGTGGCGCCCATCCAATCACCGTCTCGAAAATCCGGCCTGTGGGTTCTCCGGAACGGGGATTGTTGGGGTTTTCGCGCTTTCTCGACTTCACATTCGGAATCAGGGACATGAGAAGGCCCTGAAACGACAAAATATAGAAGTCGAAAATCTGGGTGGACGGTGCCTTTAATCGTGACAGATCAATATTATGACGATCAGATCTAATACATTTGTGCTCAGAACGCGCTCGTAGGCATCAATTGCCCGAGGTGACAGATTCTTATCACCTTTTCCTTTGTATAGCCTCGTCCTCAGGGGTGGTTTGTGATAGAAGAGACGGCTTGTGATACGTATCACAGGCCCGTATCTCCTTTTATAGGGCACTTTAAAGGATTGGACCAACGCAGATCGGATACGAATGGGCCCCTCTTTACAACTATGTGCTAATCTGGGTGGATGAATCTTGCCTGGACGCTGCCTTTAAGCAGAAAATCTATCGTCCCCTCCACAGATCGTGCTTGGTCTGCCTCTCAGACCTGCCACGTGTGGCTAACATGTTGGCAACGTGGCAACAACATGTTTGCAACATGCCCCAACATGTTGGCAGAACATTTTGGCCACGCCAACATGTTGCTGCATGTTGCCAACGTGTTGCTGCCAACGTTGCCAATGTGCTAATCACACGTGGCACGTCCGCGACGCTACAAGGGTAGCACGATCTGTGGAGGGGACGATACTTGACTGTATGTTCTCCTGGTAAGCTCTGTGGCATACATGTGGTTTTGTGAAAACTTCGCATGTTTTTCGCATGTCAAAAAATTCCCGCACAATCATTTCTTGCATATGCGCGTATGCATCCACCAATTGCGGGAGAAACGTTAGTGGGAGTACCGCCCAATATGGCTTTCGTCAACGTGTTAAGCCAAAATCTTATTGGAATGTATGCGCCTACGGGATGGGTGTGGACGCATCCGTACCCCAAATGTAGTCAGCACATGCAAGCGTAAAGGTTCTCTCCTTGAGCTCTTTTTTCTTCGTATTTTATGGATCTGATAGGTCGGACAATTTGCGAGAAAACGCAGGCATGAACAAAAGTTGCATTGCAGTTGCATTGCAGCTGCTCAGCACACTGCAATGCAACTGCATCTGTGCAGTTGCAGCTCCTCCCGCTTGCATGACGACGAGGACGAGCAATTCGAATTTCGTCCGCTCCTTGAAGAGAGGGTCCCAAAGAACCAGGTTTTTTGGGAGTTTTGAACAATTTGGACTTTACAACTGTAAACAGGGCCATGGAAAAGCCTCAGAATGGCAGAAACATGAGAGGCGAAATTTTGCCCGGACGCTGCCTTTAATATAGTTTGCTTGCACTGCAGGTAAAATGCGTAAAATTTGCGAGTGAACAAATAGTCAATACGCCTGTGAAGCTGGCCAACAGCGCGCGCGAGATGCCGGCATTACTGGCGTGGCTATTTGTTCCCGCGCAAATTTTGCCGTATTTTAACCGCAGTGCAAGCACACTGTATTAAGCGAAAAATCTACTCGATTGTATGAAGTTTTCTGCATCATTTTTCTCTTCAGTAAAACACGCAATGGGTATATCTGGTGTATCTGGGGAATTCCCTTTAAAAGAAACGTCATAATATTAGGTGTTTTTGCCTGAAATCTATAAGCACTCTCAAACAGCTACAGTTTGTCTCAGTTCGGGATTTCTTTGTGTGGAGTCTCCTCTGCGACTAATGCTTTACGTCTATCACGAACTTACAAATCTGGATTTTCGCATCTTCTTGATAAATGTTCCCAATAATCACAGGAAAAACGGTTAGTGCATCAATGTGTATTCACCCCTTTATTTTAATGTGAAAATCAAGGCAAAGCATTTGATGCGCTTATTTACATGACAATCGAAAAAGACGGTGTTGACCGAATATTGAGAGAAAGTTGTATGAAATCGGCAAATTCTGTAACGATTTGGCGAAAGCTGGTTCTAAAGCAGTTTTTTTATGCGGCCGCATGGGCATACAAATTGGAACTTTGAGGAATCGTGAGTCATATGATAATGACTCTGATTCGGCAATTTATTCTGTGTCTCATGGACAAAGCATGTGAGCAATAGATAAATTTTAGGTTTTGATTTGGAACATTTCTGATCCAAAAAGTCCCTATAGTCCACCGCCAGAAAGCCATGGACGTCTAGCTTGTGCCGCGCGCTGCTTGCGTACGCTGTTGCATTGGAGCGCACAGAATTCAACGTTGCTTTCAGCTCAAACATATAGTATGGTCAGTACAGTTTGTCGAAAGAAAAGAGCATGTATGCTTTTAGAAAAATGCTGACTTACATAATTTGAGTTCTGATATAAGAGGCCAGCAATTATCATAACAGAATAACCTAAAAGTTCTACCACTTGATGTGAGTCGCTTGAAAACTACTAGTGTACGCATCAAGTGTATATCTTTCTGCTTGAGTATTTACAAGTGTATATCTTTCTATTTGCGCGTAGTTACAAGCAATGGGAGTGGCGAGGCGGGTATGTTTCAATTTCGTTTCCAAAACGAGCCGACAAAGACGTAACGCGCGAAATCCCTGCGAAGCGAATAAGCGTCGTGCCATTTTTGGATTCATTTTGGAGTGTGATGTGTCAACGGCTACGTCAGGTTTTTTTTTGTATCAGTCGCAACGCTGCAAGCGATTCAAAATTTGTACACTTGTTCTTGACTTCAAGAAACTTCCAAAATAGAGTAAAGCATAAACGCGTTTTCCAGCTTCCATATATGGACGACATTTTCCGCGTTTATTGTCTTGAGATAGCCTTTTTATGTGCGGTAGTCTACGCATTCGAACCAAAGTCCAGCAATCTGCTCTTTAGCTACTTGTCTCCCATACATGAGAGTGCAAGCAAAGGGCGAGTTGTATTGGACTCAAGATCGAACGGAAGACATAGGCATTAAGAAACGCAGATTCTCAGGAGTATTATATTTGAGATGCAACTCTATTATAGTGCGGTGTATGTCGCGTAGATCTTATCTATCTCTAGTCTTTGCACGGGAAATGTATAGGCTAGTAGATCTAGTAACTATCGTAATTAATACAGTGCCAACATTTGCCGGCAACTAGCGCGTAAAGAAATTGCTGAGCTTGATATGCCGGCAATTTGCGCACGCAAAATGGCTGTAGAGCGCACATTTTCAACCTTTGCACCCCGGTGGTAGCTCAAGCTTAAATGTTGCGGGCAAATGCGATGGGCAAAAAGGTCTGCGAGGTTGCGGCCATTGTTCACGCATCGAGCTTCCTCAGTTTCTTTATTGTCAAACGCCATTCTGCTAACAGATATCAGCTTTCTGAAGCGTCTGAAGCAGAATAGCTGAAGCGTCACATCTGAAGCGAACTTTGTAAGTCCAGAGTTGTTTCATTGTTTAAGGCCTAGTGGCATCCTGCGTGAGGAGCCGCAATCTTATTGATCTTCGCGATCGCGCCCAACAGCCCCATACCGTCACATCTTGAAGGCACCATCCACTCACATTCTTGACTTCCATGTTTTTGTCGTTTCGAGACCTTCTGTCCCTGATTCCGAATATGAAGTTGAAGATATTGAAGACGACGAAAATCTCCGTATCGAGAACCCGCAGGGATTGTTCGAGTGAGCGGTGATTGGTTGGCAGACACGGATGGGCGGGCATTACTGGAAGGGGCGTTGCCGCCCAGGGGTGCTCTGCTCTCCTCGTTAATTCGGAGCGGTTTTTTCGCTTGCGAAGCGACCTCTTGCGCCGCCCGCGACTTGGGTATTGGCTTGATAGGGGGCCAAACTATTGCGTATGATGTCAAAAGCCTAAGACCCTTGACTTAGGGTGGACAGTGCCTTCAAGCCTGATTATGCATGCCTGCTATCAGCCATAGACGGCTCAGAGCATTTGCAGACTTTTGCCAACGAGCCACATAGAAAATGCAAACAAAAACCGTTCCGCCCACCCCATCCTTTAGGATATCGAGTAACGCCAGTAAAAAGTGTAAGTAGATTTCTTCTTTTCCCTGGAGGTTGTTACAGGACCTTAGCCCCCGAAGGAAGAATCTATCGGCAGTGTGGCTTCCAAGGCTTTCAGAGTCGGAAGCCGACGCATCATCCTACGCATCTTACGGCCCCACTATGCGCAAGTCGTAGCCACACTTTGCTCCCAGACGCGTGTTCTTCACCCGTCTACGATAAGTCTATTTGTCGCGCGGAGCTATAAAAAGCGTTAATCCCCGCTCGTTCATCGCGGCGATGACTGTTCGCGTCGTTCGGTGAATTAGTGGAAGTGGTGCGTGGCAGCGGCAACGGAAGAGCGGCTGCGCGGTGGGCGCTGATTCAGAAGTGAAGTTTGGCGAGTCGCCCAACTCGACTACGGCATCCGACGACGTCATTGACGGGGCGGTGGGCGGGCCGCGCGGCGCGTGCCCACGTCACTCGTGTCAGTGAGGCCCGCGGCCACCCCGAGGGCCGCTCTCGTTGTCTGCGCGCGCGCCGCGCTGCGACCTCGCCCGCTGCGTCCCTGCCGCGCGCCGTCCGCCACGCCGCTGACGTCGCCGCCGCTGCTTCTCCCCACAGTCGCCATTCAATGACAGCTCGCTGAGACGAGCCGCGCTCATCGTTGCGTTCGTCCTCAGCAGCAGCAGCAGCAGCCAGTCGGACGCGACTGCGACCGGCCAGAGCAGAGCCGCGCCCCCGGCCCCTCGTCGCCGTCGTCGTCGCCCCGTATCGTCGTGAGCTGTGCTGTGGCAGCTCCCTCCCGGTCTACAACCATTCGTCGTCATCAGCCAGCAATTCCCTGTCCCCCTTCCGCCTACGCGTCGGCTATGAACTCTCTAGAACTGGACGACGATGCTTTCTACATCTGCACTGAAATGTCTCCGCGATGTTTCGTCGTCCAAAAGGTTTGTTCTTTTTTTTCGCAGTTTCACCTCTTTACATGTCCACTTTTGGTTTTATCTTAACATCTTGTTTAAACTTCAATTACTTCGATTGCTTCTATATGTATTACTTCGATTACTTCAATATTGAGCTTGCTTTGTTTGGTGGAACCAGTTTTCCAAAATATCCGTTTCAAATCACTCTACCTGTTTTCATAACACACCCACGCATCTCTCGTTCCGCATTCCACATCTCGTTCCACATTTTTGTACGAACTCGACTTCACACCCACACCTAGCAGGCATCTCAAGACAGTCGTTTCTTTGTTAGGGAAAGCGCTGATGCTTGCTTTTGAGAAAGCAGTATTTATTTCTGTGAGAAGAATCGTCAGTCGAAGTTGGAAATGACATATTGAAAATTTAGAAGGGATTTTTGTTTGCTTAACTCTATATAAGCGAAGTAAAAACGGATATGTGGTAGTTGTTAATCGATTGAGCTAGAAATTGTCATATAGCTTTATCACTACTCGTTTTTAAGTCGTGGTATTCTTACAAATTGAATGCGAGTGCATGCTGAGTTTATGCTTGTCATTTTGTAGCTTTTATCGAGACAGTGACATTTACGTTTCGTGGTTTGTAATCTGAGGGCCCGAATGATGATTAGGGCCAGTCAAACTTGTACGCATAACGAGAGGAGAGATCACATTACAAGTCAAATTTATGATGTGTTTTTTCTTTTATTTCTTTTTATTTATTGACTCTTTGTCTCGTCGCTATCATTTCCATATGTGTATCGCGGATTTTTCTCAAAAGAGAGAAGATGTTCTTTTACGGCAAGCATCACCGCTTTTGTTCGCCTTTTTTCGTTCGGTTCATATGCAGATTTCGATAGAGACTGGATGACTATTAGTTTTATTTCACTGGAAGTCTGTAAGAGAACGCAGAAGCAAGTAGTATCTATATCGTATCCGATTCCTGGATTTGTCTGTATCTATCTTTACTATATTTTGCGTCTTCTATGCACATATCAAGGTTTATTACTTTGCTGTGTCTCTTCCACATTTTGTTGGGGGCAGAAAACTTGGGTTAACATAGTCTTTTTCATCTGATCGTGTGTATTGGGTATATCCAACCGATCAGAGTGCATTTACGGATAAAAGAAGCTCATTGAGTGCGCAGACACCTATTTGCTTTTGGAACTCGTCCACTTCTCATCGCCATCGTGTCATCGTCGCAATTTTTTGTTGAACAGCCAGCAATTTAGTAATTCACGATGCGGAGAAGAGTTTTAGAACAAGTTTTAGACTGTCTATGTTGTATTGCTGCACTTGAACATTCGATTTGCCATTCTATTTCGGGGTCGTCAATGTGTTTCCGCCGAACAAACTTGTCTTCACATCCTCTTTCCTCAAGCGTTGAAGTGCAGTGTTTCTGGCTTTGTGCTGCCTCTTTGGATCATTCGTGGATTCGAACGTGTCCGGTCTTGTTTTTTTTCGCCTCAAAGATGCACTTTTTGGCTTTTTTTTTCTTGTCAAGGTGTGCATTCAGTCATGCATTATGGTGCTAGGGGGTCGATGTCGTGGATGTGTGATTGCACACTTTGCGCGCATGAGAACTGTAAATAACCCGAAAATTCATCACAGCGCTGAGCTTTTTTTTGATTGGTCTTGTTCCGTGATCTTTACAGTCCCACATTTATTCGGGGAAGTATCTTGGATTCTTTTGCCACCAATTTTTCTTGCGCCCTTTCACCTCTTGAAAGATCTTCTCTGGAGTCTACGTCAAACGTTTATCGAATAGCTGTGATTCATCGCGCCTGGTCTCACTCCGAACCGATTACTTTGCCAAACAAATAAACAAATAATCGTGTGCAATGAGTCATTAGCATGTGTTTGCCCACTTGATGCACGTTGAGTATATAGTTTACCTTCTACTTTTTGATTTCTAGATCTTTGTTCAGTCTCATAATTAGGCATCGTCACTGCAATGTCTACTTACCGGAAAATTAACTTAAAAACGGATGTCATGTGATGTACTCACTCAACTAAGACAGGCGATATTTCTTAATGCACACGGTCATAAAACAACTTTCGAGTGTTTTTAGATCTTGGTTCCATTTTCTAGTCATCAATTTGCATTTTGACTTTTTCGTGCTGAAAATAAGAGCGTCGTCTCGCTTGCTTATTTTTGATCTTGGACTGTTGATTAATCGAGCTCCTTGTTACGAACCAAACAGTATATGTCAGTTGTTACCTTGGTTGATAAACGAGCAATAAATAAGAAATTCATCGGCAGGTGAGTGAAAAATAGTTATCTTAGGAACTACTTCAGAAAAATGAACTTCTTAAGTCATTTTTTTTGTTTATTTGGAACATCCACTAGTAATGCCCCGGACCAGTTTTTTGGGAGTGATCACACTTTCACAAAAATCCATTCTGCCTTTTTTCTTGATAAGTGGCGGGGTCTGGACTTTTTCCCATCTAAATTTATTCTGCTATAGTTGCACCTGCTCCATCTGCAATTAATTCCATAGTTGATCTATCTGTTACATTGCTCATTTCCATTACAACATTTATCTTTTTTTTTATCCCATGCTGCAAGAGTGTCCGATTGTCAAATTACCTATCCGTTTACATACATGGTGTCCATGGGTCCGCTGATATTTCTTATGAGCTATTTGTTTTCACTGGATTTTCTAGGTTTTTTGGTGATGATTTGGCTGTGAACTGGGCAAAAGAGCATGAAGATTAAACCTATCAATTTTCAAGCCTTTTAACAGGCATAAACGAACCCACAATGTTATGGCGAGCTTCTGAATATTGAAATTTCAGACAAAAGTCATGCTCATTCGTTTACAATACATAGGAACGTAGTCACATGCCATTTTTGCATCTTGAAAGTAGAGGGAAAGGCATTTGTTAGTAGATGAAGCGTTTCTTCTTTGAGAAGAAAAAGAATTCTTGGCACTGCTTGATACGCGAGATATATGAGAAGTTTCTTATAGATAGCAGAGGTGTGAGGACTGTTAAGTTTTTGAAAAATTGCTCAGAGAACAAGTAAGATCATTTTTTTCTGTGGTGAATGATGTTTCACGCAGCTGCTTTCTGGACTGGTTCCTTTGGAATTTTGGGCTTTGTCTCGACAGTTTTTTTTTGGCTTGGTGAAGTAGCCTTATATTTTTTTAGAATGGATTGAAAGTCTGCTATCTCTGTGTTCCCGTATCTTACCCTACCAGCCGTATTATCATATGCAGACATTTCTTGAGTACAAGATAGTAAGGTATTTTTTCCATATATATACAAGTGCATCTTCGTAAATTTTCTGTTGTAAAGCTGCAGATCGATTTATTGTTGTCATTCCATAAAATCACTTGCGTATGCAACGTGTTGCTAACAACAAAGCGGTTACATAGGAGTAAGACCTTTTTTCTTTGTTGGGGTGGAGTCGATTGACAGCTGAATTGGCTATTAAAGCTATTGTGAAAACGAGGAACTTTAAAAGGTTCTCTGGATGTTGCTATGGGAAGAGAGGGGAGGGAAGGGGAGGGGGTGGTCAATAGGATAAGTCGAAATCAATAAGCATGTTGCAAAATTGTCGATAATAGATTGCATTAGCTTAACGCTACACATGTTGGACATCTGAACTGCTCATTCCAAATAAAAATACGGGAGCAAGTGATTTTCGGACTTCTCCACACGTCAGCCAACAAAGTAATTATGAAAATTTTTGTTCGCTCAAATACTAATCAAGTAAATTTTTTGAAAAAATTTTCGTCCAATAGAGAGCGAAAGAAAAACCGCATCTACTTTGAAGTAAAAACCTGTAATTTATTCATGAAAAATCCTTTTTATATCGATAGCACTGGCATCGTAATGATGTATCGTTTGTTCCCCAGCGATTCCCATAGATACCACGTCATCTCGCTGCCTTTCACTCTTTTGAACATGTTAACCTCAGGCAGTTCCGTTGAAATCTCAGGAGAAACGTGTCAAAAATAGCGAAAGGCAGCGTCGCACCACGTACGTACGCTTTTTCACATGGGAACTTTTCTGGGGCACACAGTACAGATAGCAAGTAGTGCTGACTAACTCTATTCCATTGTTTTCTTCTAACGCGTTGATATCGCTCAATTTCTGGTTTTGTAAGCGATAGTACGAGTCGGCCGATGATATGCGAAGATGTAGCTCTAGTAGCAGTTTTGACTAGACTCCAGCAACTTTTTCATTGACACTGGTACCGGATATCATATAGTAGTTCTTTTGTAAGAAAATGGTCGATGGAGGATAAAAGTAAGTGCGGATTTTTAGGACGCGGTGTTTGACAAAGACTGGCAATTTTGTCGAAGAGGCCTCTTAGTATGAGATGAAAACTAAAAGTTTGGGCGCCGATTCCAAATATGTATCTGCTATTTGCCAAGTTTCGAGAATTTACGGGAATTTCTAGGGCAATAATTCGAAAGCGGGCTACAGTGTATCTAGAACTGTACTCCACAAGCTCACATATGGGTTTGTGACTATTAGAATTTTTCATGCAGTGAAAATTTTCGGTCCTCATGCTTACTACTACTTCCTTCAAGGACTGGAAAACCTCAACAGCTATTTATCACTTTGGATGCGCCTTTGCATTCTTGCCCAAAAGAATTTTTATTTTTTAAAGGCGTTTGGAAGGTGGCGATTACAGATTATCAGCTTTTAATGCTCTCTAAGTCTGTATTCATCTTATATGGAAAGGTCAACTGAACTAGCATCTTCCCCTTGCAAAAAATTTTTTTAGTTACTGGCATTTGTACTATGTAAGTTAAATTGTAATCAGGTTTGGAGACTTACAGTATTGTTTCTTTTGTTATTGTTTCTTCATGTCACAATTTGGAAGTATGAAAATACCAGTTTTTTGGCACTGAGTGATTTTGACAATACTTTTCTTAAAAATATATTCGTGTTCGTTCATTCTGCTACTTTAAAGCTGCATAGTCACGCTAATCACAGGGAAAGGACATCAAGATTACTAGCAGATATGTGTTACGAAATTTTTCCATGATTAATGAAGTGCGTTTTGAATTTATAAGTTGCTGTTCGTCGTGCTGACGTCGTTCAGTTTGCTAGCCTATAATCGCGTTTAGAGATGTTGCGAAGAGGCTTAATGAGCGATGTAAAAAGTTGCTGGAAAAGTAGTGTAGCTCTTCCTTGTAGGGGAAAAAGTTTGCGGAAATTGTGGGTTTACAAGTTTGATAAAGATTTCTTAGTCCCGTTCGTCATCGCAATTTTCGAAAATTTTGTTGCTTTTGCTTAGTCATTTCCATTGAATCAACTTCGAGTCACGATTGATTTTCTCAGTCTCCAGACTAATGAAAGTGTCTAGCACTAAGAGAGAATATTGGCGCAATTAGACAATTAGTAGGAGATCGGGTGAGCGCATACGAGACGGACGCGATGACGGATAATGTTAGATGAGCCGACAAATGGATTTGAGAGTTCATAGCAGTAGTTAGACATGAATTTTTGATTGATAAAAAACTATATACCCACACTGTGTTGATCTAGGTGTGATGAAAGAAAAAAAAACGTTGTTTGATATGGAGAAAGTGACGGAAGTAATGTCTTGATATCTTGCTTGCCTCGATTCCAGCTATGAAATTCCTGTGCAAAAATTGTTCCAAATCAGAGACATAAATTTTTATTTTCTACGCAAAAAGCAATTCAAATCAGTGGTACAAAACCGCTTTTTTTTTGAAAAAACTACACACAGTCTTCCGATTCAAGTGATTTTCCGTAGCGTGGCCATATCTCGCTTCAGAATGGACTTCGACTCAGCTCGGCTGGCGCATCTTCTGAGGTATGGGAGTGTCCTCTTGGACACGTTAGGAGGTCAGTTTCAGATGTCGTTTCAGATTTTTGTTTACGGTAGGTTACTCAGTGTGCCTATTTATTGCACTCACTGGGCAACCTACCGTAAGCAAAAATCTAAAACGATTCGTGGAATCTGGCCTCCTACTGTGCCCAAACAGGCACTTCTTTATATCAGAGCGCCGCGCCGAGTTGGATCGAAGTGTTTCCTTGGATTAAGAATTCGTCAACTCTGAAGCGAGATAAGATATGGCCACGCTACGGTGATGTCACATGAATCGAGTGACTGTGCGTCGTTTTTCCTAAAATTAAGGGCGGTATGGTTCAAAAAAAAAATCCCAGTTTTTACGCGAAAATAATACAAGTAGAAATATGAAAAACATTTTTCAGTTTTATTGTTCAAACTTGGGCATTGCTGATGCAGGGGAGTTCAAAAGAATTCTTGATCATTCCGAATATTTTTGTTTTCATTTCTTGTGCAACACCCGTTTTTACAAACTCCTTTTTCGAGTCGCCTTATTCGCCAGACACCTTATTGTTGTCCTGTTTCGTCGCCTCCTCAATTTTTTTTCGCGTCTGCTCGTCTCTTTCACTCTTCTTTTGGTGTCCTTTCCCATCATCGCCATTCTCGAACAAATAAAACTTTTTTTCTTGCTACAAACACCCTGCGAAAAGTAAATACTTCTCAATGAATGTGTGAATTTGCAGTAGACATGGTCACGAGCAGAGTGTCTAACAATAAGAGATTCATTGCGTTTTGGCCACATAGGCTTATAAGAACATTGATTGGAAAATTTCTTCCTGCACATCGCTTCATGAATAATTGTTAGCGTGCCTTTGTCGTCGACGTTGTCATCGTTTGAGCCATTATTTCATCGACGCATTCGTGTCCGTCACGGCTATGGTCGATGAAACCTTTTTTTGGTGCCGCATTGATATAGCATGAAAACGAAGTGAGACCAAAATGCAGGGATATGAAAGGAATGCGGAGTCTTGATTTTTGTTTGCAAAGTGGACATAGCTACGAGATTAATGAGCTGAATTGCATCACGCACTGGACTCCTTATATTAGAGAAACAATCTTTTTTTTTTCAAATTGTCGAGATTGCACGGAGTTGGTCTTGAGGAGTAATGGGCCAAGTATAGCACCTCACATTGAGCTCTTTTATTCAAATCAAAACCATTTTTTTTTCTAGTTTCAATGATTTCTTCGCTCAATGCGAAATACATTTTGTGCCAGCACGTAATTTTCTCAGAATTATATGTGTCTATTGCCATGGAGAGTACTGCCTTTTACCACGTTTTCCAGTACCAAAAAAACGTATGGCCTTTGTCTAACGTACTACCGTTTCCATTCATCTCGCTTAGAGCGGGCATGTTAGTTTTCAAATTCACTCGGTCATATGGGAGACTATATTATGTAATCTCATCTTTGCTATAGCGGGAATATTAAGTGAAATCTATTTTATTCTATGTTACGGCTTCACCCACTAGCAGCTAGCATTGTTAGAGAGCTGCATCGGAGAAGTGCACTAAATTTACATTTAGTTAATCATAAAAAATTGTACTACAATTTCAGTTCTATCATGAGAGATATTTGGTATTTTTTCGGGTCTCTGCTGCAGATTTATCTAGGGGGCCTCATTTTAAGTTTGCATTGTTTAACTACCTTTGCCGTTTTTCAAATACCTCCTTGCTAGATTCTAACCCGAATACAGTGAGCTCACTTGTAATAATTTGTATGTGTTTGCAAATATGTATGAGAAGCTTTAAGTTGAAAACAAAAGGTCGTCTTAAGCTTTGCGTTGGATTACTTATTGTTTGTACAATTGTAATTTTTTGGTAGATTACCTCAAGGAAGACTGATCATTCACGCCATATATCTATATGAGTATATCACCATAAAATTTCTTTTCATGTTTATGCCTTTCAGAGTAGGTTTTTGAAAAAAGATAGATTCCGTTTGATCATCCTAAGAATGCGGTTTTTGGATCTTGGGTTGTTTCGCAATCTCCTTGAACATTTTTATGATTCACTTCTAGCTCCGGAAATTTCTGGCGTGTTACGAATTCGTTTCTCATACTCATAAAAGATTGTATTTTCTTCTTGACTGCTCATTTCCGAGGTTAAGGATTTTGTTCAGCTTCGATTGTTTTTATGCTAGTTTGACATGAGTTACATGCACATCATTTTTCCATTCAGTGAGGAAATCTTTATCGCATTTTTTTTACCCCTTACACTTGGGATGGACATATCAAGACACCTTTGGCTTGTTCGCATAGTCTGTACTAATCTTTTTATTAAGGTTCCGTTTCCTTGCCTTTAATGCTTCTGTTTTCGCTGACTCGTTATGACGTCATGTTCTTAAGTGAATGCATGCATCGAGTAAGGGGGCTTTGGCGTAATCGAGGTAACCGTATCAAAAAAAATCCAAGCTCTAGCTTTGTGATATTTTGACATTCAACATTTTCGGATGTTGCTTAGTACAAAAACACATTATATCACAATTTACCTAGAACTTTCTTTAACAAACCCGCACTTGCTATTGCATTTGCTACATTTATCCAAAAATGGTTTTTGGTCTTGAACAAACTTTTCCACAAGGCACTTATCTTGGCTTTTGATTCATTTTTATTATTCAAGGCCATGCTTTCATTTTGATCAATCGAAATCTTGCTTTTATCGCCGATATTGTTTTTATGCGCATTTAACGTTGATATTTTAGGCCATACAAATAGATCGGAGCCAAATCGAGCGCATGGTCGGCGATTTAGAGAAGGCACCGCCGCCTCCGATCGACGCACCACCAGCTCCACAATTGCCGTACTGGTATGATAGCTGACTTTTTCTCGGTTTTCTCTTCTGGAGTCAAATTGTTTGAAGTGATAAATGATTTTTATCATCTGTTTATCACAGCTTTTTCATTCGAATTGGTAGAATTCGAATTCCGGTAAGGTTTAGGTTCACTACTGAGTGTCGTAACAATTTGGTGAACTGCGACGTGCCTGCGATGTCGGTGCCGAGCGCGCCCTCGCCAATTCCACCGCCTCTCCCAATGCCAGATCTTAAGCAACAGCTGAAGGCGCAACTTGAGTATTACTTCTCAAGGTGGGTTCTATTCAACACTTTTGTTATTTTTTCTTCTTGCCCTTTTTTTCTAGTATTTTTCGTGTTTGCCATTATAAAAGCTCACCTTTTGCGGCTCCTTCCCTATTGAGCCTTAGGCGCTCGTTTTTCATTTGATTTCGGCGTAGTTCCTCGATGTGTCTATCGCCATCTCGTTAGCCAGCAGACTACCCGATGAGCAAAAGGCTCACATGTCGATAATGAGAGCACAACGCGGCCATGGCGGATGTTTTCCGTATGTATCCGTATGGCCTATGTCCAGAGATGTACTGTTAGTAGAGTGTGTGTGTAGAGTGCACAGGTCCTTGGAATTACTTTAGCCGGTGGTACGTGAAGGGGCCTCTTTACTCAAGCGTACTATAGTAGAGTACGCACAAGAGAATAGGCTTGATGAATTGCATAGCGAAATGTGAGATGATGTCACTCTCTTGGACTTTATATGGCCGTGCAAATTAGCCACGCTGGGTTGCAAATGCAAAGTAAATCTGGGGGGGGGGGGGGTTACTATGGTCGCAGGGCAATGCTGGCTGAGATTAGCGATTTCCAATATGCTTGTGTTCCAAGGAATCCTTATGTAGAAGGAAACTTTCAATCATAGTACAAGATTTTAATACAAGATTGAAATTTTTTTATAGAGAATCGTTAGAATACAAGCATATCGGAATCCGTCTCAGTCAGCATTGCTCTGTGGTCATGGTAACCCCTCACCCCTAAACCCACTATGCATGTGCAACCCAGCGTTGCTAATTCGCACGGCCATATAAAGTCCAAAAGAGTGATATCATCTCACATCTCGCTACGCAATTCATTGCATTTAATATTCTCGTGCTACTGTATAGAGCCAGTGCTGCTTGAAGAAACGTTAATTTGCTAATACATTTAATGCGGGTAGTCTTATCATGCTATGTGCCACATGAAAAAAAATTGCAGAGTAATAGGCTCACTTATGTATACATTTTCTTCTGTTTTGAAAGTGGCTAGGGTTTCGTCTTGAGACTCTCAACATAGGTGTGACTGTTTCGCATGTTTCGGGTCTATGCGCTGCCTTTGGCGCCTTTTTATAGCCTTCAAACCTTGATTTCTACCAATGCACCAAAGGTAGCCAGTGGACTGTGTTGAAGGGATTATGAGAAGCTTGGGCACCGTTATGCCTCAAAAGCTAAACGAGGAGGTCATGGAATGTAATGAGTTATTTCCTTCACACTGACAATAGGAGAGGATGATGTTGCTATCTTCTATCAACCTTACTGAAATTGAAATTGTCTTTATCGTTAATTTGGTGCTTTGCAAAGACCGCGCCATTTTGTCTGAAGCCAAGAGCTGAATAAACTGAACCGAATAAATGTGTTCTACATTGCATAAAATTCTTTCTTGAACATCTGTTTCTGTCTGAGAAAGTTTGATCTGAATAAATGAGATTGATATACGTGTTTCTTAGTCGAAATTTATTCAGACACATAATTAGCCTCTGGTACATTTTTCTTTCGCCACATGCAAATATTCCTTTGGTCTATATAGTTGTTATAGGGAGAATCTGATAACGGATCGATATTTACGATGTCAAATGGATGCGGATCAATTTGTGCCAATTTCGATCATTGCTGGCTTTCGCAAGATTGTCCAACTTACCAGCGACTATAACCTTATCTTGCAGGTTCTACGAGGTGCGAATTTTTACCAACCTTTTTTCTTTGCTGAATGAAATTTGTCTGCTTTTTGGAATTTGATTTCCGCTTGCTTTCCGCCAAAATTTATTCTTTTTTCTCTTTCAGAGTCCAATCAGGTGGAAGTGGACGAGCGCGGCGAAAAAGTCCGCTCTGTTTGCCGACGTTGTACGATCCTCTTGCGTGAAATTAGTGAAGAACATAAAGAGGTATGTCATTTTATTTGAATATGTATTTTTGTTAACTTCTTCGAAGTGCTTAATTTTTGCCAGTTTATTAATTCAGGAAGTTGAGAAGATGTTAGCCGGAGGTCCACCGTATGTGGATTTGAAATATGGACTGAATAATAGTTGGTATGTAACGTTCGACAATGAAGAGACAACACAACAAGCATATCTTCATCTTCAAAATATGAACATCACCTTTAACAACAAACCAATATGTGTGAGTGATTCAAGTAATTGTTATAGTCTCCTACCACCCTTGAAAATTAGTTTTTTTTTCTCGTTTATTATTCGAGGCATGCAATGGCTAAATTACGAAACTTATAGGCGCGTATCAAAGCCGGTGGACCACCTAGCGATTTACCGCCAATCGATCGGATGCCAACACAGGTGATTAATTGAAACTTGCTGTTTTCATCAAGTTTTTCCGCGTGGGTGGTCTAGCAACAACTTTCTCACTGTGAGGGAAGGACTAAATTGAGGGGTGTGGAAATAGGCAAGTTATTGCATCAGCAAGCTCTATCATTCAGTGAAAAACCAAGGAGTGCATTTTCGCATCTGCAATGTTCTGTTTACCTTATTATAGAGATTGTACGTTTTATTGCAGTGTTTTTTTTACGTATTCTGTTCAAAACTTTTTTCTATCCATGAAATGATTTGCAGCCTCAGATATCCTGCCGAAATAGCAATGAAACAGCAATTTTCTGACTTCGAACAATTTGCAAAAGGTTCCGACCACGGCAGGATTCGAACCTGCAATCTTCTGCTCCGTAGGCAGACGCGTTATCCATTGCGCCACGCGGCCATATGTTTGGTCCTCTCAAGTTCTCTGATCAGCAGCTGGCTTGGAATCTTATAAACTTGTTCGCAGAATCGTGATTACGCGGGTGGTGTAGTCTACGCTGCGATCGAAACTCGATAATTTCAGTGAATGCAAAATGAAAATTTCGCCGCTGGAACTCAGTTTTGCTTTCCATAGTGTTTTCAGACAGTTTCTTTTGCAGATGCCGGAACCCATAGCAGCCGAGCCTCAACTCTTCACACCATTATATGAGTTGGGACAACTCTTAGCCAGCTATGGTTACGTGCCAAGAGCTACATTCCGTCCTGGTGCCACTGTCGTTCATGTGCAAGATGAATCACGGCAACGAATGAATCGACACGGACCGCAGCAAAGAAACCCACATTCAGGAAGATGTAAGAACTGTTTAGGCACTGCTTTCTTCTGAAATCTCTTCTTTCAGCAAATCGAAACTATCCTTCTGGTGCAAATGGCTACCCTATGCATCCAAATGGAGCAATACCGCATTCGTCTGGAATCAACGGCATTGTTCCGTCCACGTCTCAATATGGAGGAATGGAACGAAGACCCTATCGTGATCAGAATTCGAGAGGCGGTCGTGGCTCAGGCACCGGTGGTGGCCCTCGCCGTGGAAATGGCGAACGCAATTATCATCAAGGTGGTCGTCGTAATGGTGGAGCGAATGGCTCGTACCAAGATGGTAGACGTCGAAGTGATTACTGTAACGGTGGAACTGGGACAGGAACAAATAACAATAATAACGGACCTGCGTTAAGTGTTTCCACAGGGAATCTGGCTAGCGCTGCTGCCACGGCTGGTACATCGAATACGTTGCAAATCGAAAGGTAAGTGCTTTACGTCTTTTTGATTCTGCCAAATTAATTACACTACCGCAGGCCGCGATATAATAGTTTCCGTCGTGAACGGAATGCCGATAGCGAACATCTATCTACGAATGACACATCGAATACTTCTTCTGGTAAAGGTCGACGTTGGGAAGCGGATAGTGAAAATGGAAGTGATGGACATGCGGAGAGGAAGGTAGAATTTTTATTCTTATTTATTTTTGTCCTATTCTTTTTCTGCTCCTGATTAATCTTCTAATTTCTGCTCGGGATGAGCCAACCCTAACATCGACGAGCTGAGCTTATCCCATTGATAGACCTGCTTAGGTCTTTATATTTGTTTTTATATCAAGCATGACTATGATGCTTTCGTCAACAACCTGGTCACGCTGCATTCCAATACATTTTTTCCATTACATCTTCTTTTCAAGGCTTCATCTCAAAGTGGATGCTCTGCTTATTCATTTGAAGAGAGAGCCTTTCCATCATTATCGGAGCCGAAACCAGAACAGGAAAAACCGGTTGAGAAACCATCGTTCAGGTATGTGTTTATCTCTATGTTCCTTTTCTTTTCCAAAACAATCTTCCAACATATTTTCGACACGTAAGCAATTTGTCTACACACTTTTGTCTTTATGTAATTGAGGCTTGATTTTGATTGAATTCTTTCAGCCATGACATTTGAGTAATTACACTCACGTCATTTTCTATTTATACAGCTTGTGTTGATAGAAAATGACGTGTGAGTCGTGAATCCGAAATTTTTCCATCGTTTTTCACATAAATGGATCTTTCGGAAACTTGGTAAGTGAAAGGGCAGTAGTGGGAGGGAGAATATTCTTGCATGTTTGTTGAAAGGTTTCTTTCTGGGGAAGTTTTTGTTGTACATGCAACATCCTTATTTGTGAAATTATTATATTTTTGGGTACAAGTGTTCGTTTTCTTATTTTTCTATTTTTTTTCTTTTTATGGCGTCGTTGCCAAGGTTATATTTGCAGTTGTGTCGCCGCTGGCAAGCGGTATGCGAAACCGGAGCCAAGGAAGAGTTATGCGGAGAAACTCAAAGAGAAAACGGCCAAAGCCTAGTTAGTGGCCGTGCATATATCTGCAAGCAAGTCGTATAATTTGTAGTGCTAATTTCTATGGTTATCTGCGAAGGGTCTGGGAATGTATTTGATGTGTATTTGTGTTTCTCGGGATGGTTTATCTAGACAAGCTGTCACGTTGAATTTATTCACGATTTTCTTGTCGTTTTCTTTGTTTGCTTTTCAATCCAAAGCTCTGAAGAAATCCGCATACATACACAGACCACCTTCAAAATTTCGGTTTCCAAGCGATTTTTCTTGCCATTTTACGTGTCGAATCGAGGTTGAGTGTTTCATATCCACGACTGTATTATTATCGTCGTTTCCTTCTGTACTTGCCGAATATACAAATATATGTGCCGGTGAACAACCTGGACATTACTTGTCATCATTAGCCAAACGTATTACTTGTCGGTCACCACTGCATTCGGATCACTGAAGAGACACTAAAAAACTTCGTGGATTTGATTGATTGATTTATTGATCGCTAGGTGGTCGTTGCTCGTGTGTGTTTATCAATCTTCATAGAAGAGATATCCTTGAGATGATACTTTCTATGTTCCGGTTAGTGATCATATCACTCTAGTCATCCATTCTGTGCTTTACATGTCTGTGAAATCTTCTATGCGCCAAACATTTAGTCGCTTGTTGTTCTTCAGTTTTTTCCTACGTTCTGCGAATGTGATTTTTCCTAAGACGAAAAAAAAAATCGTGATCCGTTTTATTCGAGAATTCTTCTTTATACAAATTTCGAAGCATATCAGACTAGGAAGCGGGAGTATGGTTTACATCTGGAGTCGAGAAATCTTTTGGGTCTTGTTTGGTAAATTCTCTCTCCCTGTTGGAAATTTCTCCAGGAGCCGTACGACTACTTTCTCTAGCTGTCCGAAACACAGGTCCAAATTTACATTATATTGCCCTTTTCACCTAGTCTTAATACAAAGAATGTTCTTTATCTATCTACCGGTATACACCTCTGTTTGTCTGTCTATCCGTCGAATATATCGCTCTAACTCTATCTGTCTATGTCTGTCTATCCTTTGTAAACATTTATCATCTGTCGATTTTTTGTCTGTCAAACGGTTGTTCTATCCTCGAATAAAAATTCTGGTAAAATGTGTATGTATTGCTATTTTCGTTTAGTAGTTAATGGCTTCTAGCAGATAGGCTCAGCTTGCAATTGCAGTACTGAATTTGAAAAATGCTAGGAATTGTGAAAGATGGAAAAGGAGTGCGAAAACTGTCGCACAACCAAAGGGTAAGAAATTAGACCAGAAAGGCTGGAAAAATTTAGTCCTGGGATTGATATTTTTTGAGAAGCCAATGGAACGTTTATGAATAGCACAAAAATAACTGGGATGACATATGGTCAAATGGATAAGAACATCATTTCTCAGCTTGATGACGAGTTCAAATCCTGATTTGCCGGTTCAATGCTTGTGGTCAAGCTTACAATACTCAAGCATGACTTTATTTGGCATCCAAGAAGGGTTGAATGGATAGTGAGTCGGACTGTCACGATCGCATGAAGAGTTCGATTCCCTTACATGCTTGGGTTAATGATATTCTTTATCGGGGTAAGTTTGGGACTGTATATTAAGCGCGTGTTGCGAAGAAAAATAGGAACCCAGCCATATTTCTTCCAGTTTGTGTTGGTGAGGGGTTTCTTTTTTTTATTTCACGGAGATGGGAACATTGAGATATTGTTCCTCCTGTTTCTTCTTCTTGGATGCCATTTGTCCTGTCTCACCACCTTGCGCCTCCCCTTGCGGTTGCTGGTGCGGTGTTGCGATTCTGGGGCTCCTTCCGGTGCTTCCTTGCCCCCTGCTCTCATCGGGAGTTTTGCCCTCCCGCGGCTCCCTTCCCCCTTACCCTCCTTTCTTCTTCTTGAGTAAACCCAGCTCGTACAACTCGCTTACGTTTTCATTCAGCATTGTTTCTCATTGCTTCGTATAGCTTTCGCTTTCGGTCTGAATCTAAAGTGTGGGAAAAGTGTTCGGAGCATATAATTTTCTATCATAAATTGTTGCTATTACCGATAAAAGGTTTTGTATTGCTCATTTGACAGTTGCTAAGGTCGAACCTGCGATTTGTCACTCCTTATTCAATCATCATGCCACTCAACCTCTTGCGTTTAATAAATGTTGAAGTTCTCATTTATCAAGTAGTGGTTTATCTCATTATGTGACAAAGATAGAAAATTGGTTTTTCACAAGTTTTCTTTATGGCTCAGTTACCCAAGTTTGAGGTACTTGGCACATTTTTTGCAATAAAGTTAATGGATAGTTTGCAAAGCAAATGCATCTACTTGGGATAGATCCTAAATAGTTCATGCAGGCAACTGCATCACTCCCTCTGCGCCATGCACGCAGCAGTTTTATGAGGGAGTATATCACACACAAATCTAAATCTCAAAAACTTACGCGCAACAACTCCTCAACCATGGATTTAAAGAGTTTACTTTTCAAGCTGTCGTCTATAAGGTGAGTGCGTGTAGAAACGTATGACTGTTTCCTTTTCATAATATGTTCTGAATCTTCACCACAATGGTACGGCTACTTTATTTTTTTTTCTAGAAAATGTAATTCGCATATTATCTTGGTTACAAGAGGTGCATTATTAACACATTCACGACAATACGATCCACCGGTGGGTCGTAAGTTTAACGAAGCAAAAAGGCTCTGGATCCAAAATGGCAGTGATCGAAAAATCGGCCTTGTCGTGAATGTGGCAAAGCAAATCGAGATCCTGATGTCTTGAGGATGACAGGTCTTTGCCGTAGCAGACGCATATTTGGTATCATCGTGAAAATTTAATAGTTTCTGAAATTTAGTAGTTCTCAGAAACACCATCTTGTCCTGTTCATGACTTAACTTATGTTAGAGAATTAATATCTTGCTTTTGGAGGCATGTGATATTGATTCTTCTTTGCCAAATGTTGCCGTACGAATTCAAATAACGTTGACGTTGTGGGGATACTATATCGTATAGAAAAAGCAGGGCATATTGTTACTAGTAGCCAGTAGTGTAACGATTGAAAGACCGCATAACAAGAACAGTGCAGGAATTTTATTAGGTTGTGTATAAAGGAGAAAACCGATAATGAAGAGAAATCATCAATAGTTCCTAAGTAAGGTATAAATCTAACTTACTTAGAAAATAATTTTTACACATAACCGGTTTCGGGGCTAAGAACTATACCGGATATGTGACTTCCTCGGTGCCCCGGGTATAAGTTCGCTTGCATTTTGAAACAAATCCATTAAAATTTTTCATTTTTACAGAGTTATACGTTGTTGTTTATACGCTTTTGAGGCTCTTCCTATTTAGAGATTTCTGCTTGAGTTTTGCGCATTGGCTGATTTTATCATACCAACGCCTAATAGTTGAGAAATTCATGATGCATGAAAATCTTATATTACAAGTAAAACTGTTGGAATAGTGCGAGAAGAACAAAGGTGTGCGATGTATGTAAAGGGGAAACTAATAAGCTAGGAATATCTCTCAAAAATGGTACAAAATTCTCAAGAATATTTTCCTGAGGATAAGGAGCCATCGGAAATCCGACGATAACATGCAAAGGTACACCTGGAAGGATGGATCGGGCTTACAAGAGCGCCAATTCTAATAATTTTTATGCTCCAAACCAACTCAGTTGGCCAGAAAGAAACTCTAATGGTCTTTGGCAACGAACTAATAGATATTTGGGCGCTAGGCTAAATGAATGAGTACTACAGTAGTAGTGCAACTATCAGAGAAATTGTAGTTCATTTATTCCCTCACATCATGCCACTTGGGTCGAGCAGATAAACATGAAAGTTCTATGGCACCACTAAGAAATAACTGCTTACTTAGAGAGAGAGGTAAGAGATCAAAGTTGAGGAAGACAAACTCCTCCTATTTTGGCAATTTCTTTACTTGCAACAAAATGCGCCAATTAAACTGCAGCTGAAAACCTGAGCTCATCGAATGCCACCACAATAAAGGAGTTGATTATTGATTTCTTTGTTCTGTGTGATTTCTCGTAAAGTACGAACATTGAAGCAGAACAAGCTAATGTATAAGCGGTGTAATTGAGTGTACAGTGACTTTTCTTTGTGCAATTCCTCATATTGAAGACTTGACCTAACAAACTCAAAGCTGAAGTAATTATTCCGTTTTGGTTATTTTTATTATTTACATGACAAGCGCATGATATCGTCTTTCCAACAGAACCTAATAAACTGTCCAAATGCATCGAGAAATCAAAAAGTTACAATAATTAAGGGTGCGACATGATCCCCTGCTTGGTATGATATAAATTTTGAGGCGCAAGACCCCTCTTTATTTTGTGCTGCATCCCTTCGACGGAAAATCAATTGGGCAAGTTCACCTAACGCCATCTGGAACTCAATTCCTCACTTGAACAAGCATTTGACCTATAAGGCATATGTCATTTTTCAGATTTTGTATATACCGCACTTTGCTCGATTACAACGCAAAAACATATGTTGAATTACTATAGTCTTTGCGAAGCTTTGCTCTCTTATTGAGTTGTTCTGGATACTAAAGTACTTTTGGAAACACTGCTGGATCCAAATGAATTCATGTATTATTGAATTCGAGATAATTTTGATAAGAGCGGGAGTAGATCGAACGATTGCCAGTGAGTAAGGCAATGTGGCTGTGATACAAATACGTCTGAATCATTCCGTCGGCTATGTGAGTTTTTTTGTTTGTTTTTGGTATTAAAATGTTTACATGAGTTATAAAAATGTGCAAGTGACTTATCCAGCATTGTGAAAGATTTTCTTCGGAACGGTTATGGGTCCTCAAAAATTTTGGAAAGCAACTCAAAATATTTTCGAGGTGCGTAAGTAAGGCCACGCACCATTATTTGGAAAAAATTTTTTTGCCCGCCCCCTGGACGGATATCTTGGAACCGCCACTGGAAAACTATGAAGCAGGCAGTAAAGCTCAGCGCTCTAGTTAAGTGTAGCGTGCAGTTGATACAGGTTACTGGAGGAGAAATCTGTCTAGATGAACGAAGACTCCAATTTGATTGAAGACGACGGAATTTACTTCATATTTGCTAGTACCCGCACAATTTCCCATTCTCCTCAAGAATGCAAAACCATCAAAGCTTCCATCACTGTTTTTGTCCAAATGCAAATTCTTATGTGCGCTTAGCTGTAATGTTCAATCCTGCACACCGTTAGCTAAATTTTCTATGTTAATATAGTGTGTTGCATGCAAAGCAAGATCCAATTTGTATTAACAGTTTATTTTTGATTCTGCCGAATCGAATACCCATACATGTCCCAAATTGTGGCAGAAGCAGGCACTTGTGCTTTTCTGCAAATATAGAATCAGCACCTATCAAATGTCACATCTTCCATGGCTCGGCTACCATTGTCATGGGAACTTACATTAGTTGTTGACAGTAAAATTTAGCGGCGTTAGTAGGGAGCCGTTCCATCTCTCCACTATTTCGGCGAGCTGTAAAACGAAG